ATACGCGCAGAGTGTCCGGCTCGAGACGCTATTTTTAGATTCGCCCCACCCGCCTGCCTGCCTGCTCTCGCCTCTCCCTCCTCCTCCCTCCCTCCCGCCTCCCTCCGCCTGGGCAAGCTGCGCTGTAAGGTTGCGCAGTGTGTGTCTTCTACTAACGTGTTACACCTAACTTTTAGTTTTCCTAACCTAACCTTTATTTTTCCTTACTTAACCTTTATTTTTCCTAACCTAACCTCTTCTATATTACTTGTTTGTTCATACCATCATAAAGTTAAGATAAATTTTTACTACAACATAGTTGTGTGTCGTCAAAAAGTGGAGTTTGGGGGTCGGGCCAGTTTCTATTGGAATTAATCCCATATGTTCTGTTGTTCACTTAGCGCGGTTTTCACTTAACACGGTACCCTGTGGGTTCTATTGACCGTGTTAAGCGGGGTACTACTGTAATTACTTTTTACAATACAAAAACGCCCGAGTATAATACTGCATTAAAGAAAAGGTATTGGAATTTTCTAATGAAAAGGGAGGTCCGAACCACATGACAGCTAAGCATAAAGGAAGTACTATGGAGAGAGACAGTCTTTTGACTTGTGTAACCATCGCCCGTGACCCCGCTTGTACGTACCCAATGTTAGTTAATTCCCACGTGACCCACTGCCACAAAGTAGCTAATCCATCAAACAGGCCGCACTGAACTTGGTCTGTAAACTTACACAAATTATAATGTTTATATTGTTACTATTTATACTTGTTTCACTGTTACATTTTTGTAGTTACTTACGGTACTTAGATGATGAAACAGTAACTAATTGTGTGAGAAGATTATTCTTTTAATAAATTTTCCTTTACTCACCATAAGATGGCTGCAACTACCTGAACCGTAGGCCACATTAAATAGAATTTCTCAATCACTCCGTGGGCCGCACAAAGACATGGTCCAGGCTGCGGGTTGCCCATGCCTGGACTACAGCATTAAGAGTGTGACAAGATCAAGAAGAGTTGGTCAACATATTGTTACGACCCTCCTTTTCACCGCTTACCCAGCTTCCACCGTTGCTTACCAGCGGCCGGAGTCGTATATACAGCAGCAGTAGATATATCACAAGTGTTGTCGAATTACCACTGGCTGTCCCGCCAGTCTCCGGTAATTTCCCGACGATCGGTATCAGTGTACAAACAAACAACAAGCAGGTAGATTTCCACCAGGTCACAGAAACACACATGTACACAGTAGTCTGCTTTAATAATCACTAATTCTTCGCAACACTGTTCACAGGGTAATGTTCACATGTGGACTTCTCACTTCGTATGTATAGCTAGTCAGCACATAACAGTGTACAATTCCTTAGTCTTTTCACTTTATATCACTCACAACAATTGTCTTCATCTGTCCTACTAGGCTGAGCAGAAAAGGTCGACTGACTCACTAGGCCGCACGCTGCCGCTTATACAGGGTGATCAGCAAAGAGTACATTAAATTGGAGGATGACATCCTTGATTAATTCTAAACCACAATGTCCCTTTGGTAAATGTAAGATTCTGCATATACCCACGTGTTCGTGACAGGTGCGAGCAAATTAAACATAGTCCAGGCATTTTGGAACGTGTCAGACAATCAATGGTACGACGTGTACAGGCCTGCATTGAGGCAGAAGGGGGCAACTTTGAACATTTCCTTTAGGTTGTAACAAAGAGGGGTCAGACTGTACAGACCTGTGAATAAATTATTACAAAAACCTATGGGGGTTTCACTTCAAATTCACTCTCATTAATACAACATCTAAAATGTATTGTAAAATGAAAACTATGCAGAATCTGACATTTTGCCTCTGTATACAGTATAGTCTCGATTTACGCGGATTTGGTTTACGCGTTTGGTCATTTACGCGGCACCTTGCCAGACCGACAATTTTTATTTACACGGTTCATTCCATCATTTACACGGGAAGCAGTGCGGGCAGGGTACGCACAAGGTCGCCCAGTCAACAAAACATTACCGAGTTCTTCACTCACCACCCACCACAGCCAGCCCAAGTCAGTGATAGTGATAGTGATAGTGCTAGTGAGGATATGGACTTTGAGGGGTTTGACAAAGAGGCCCTGCAAGCCTCTGTGGTGGATAGTGATACAATTGATACAAGTGATACAGGTGAGGGCCAATAATCTGCCCTCAAAACCTAATATTATTGATATTTCTCTTAAATATTAATTGTGTGCATACCATCATAAAATTAAGATGTTAGTTTTACTACAACGTACTATTGTGTCGAAAAAGTGTAGTTTTGGGGTCGGCCCAGTCTCTATTTCAATTAATCTCATATGTTCTGTTATTTCGTTTACTCGTTTCTCGTTTTACGCGGACCTCCACGGGTTCAATTGACCGCGTAAATGAAGACTATACTGTACCTCATCAGACGACCCTAGAACACCCTAGCACAACCCAGACAGGTCTGGAAAGTTCTAGTAGGTTCTATTCTCATCTAGGCTTACAATAGGAAGTAAATCATTACAAAAATGATGCAATACATTCTGGAAAATTCTTATAGATAATATATACACAGAAATCTTCCTAAACTTTCCAAAATAACTGCTGCTTGGAATAGAAAATAATCAATACACTTAATTTACAAACATTATAATACAAAATTATGCCTCGGCATAACATTATCATTCAGCACCATCGCCTGAATCCACAGAGTCCTCTGCCACCACAGAAAACAGTCCTGGCGGTAGCTGGTAATAGAGTCCAGCTCATCGACATGATCTGTGAAGAACTGATCAGCAGAGGACTCCAGAACAAGACCAAGCTAATCATAACCGGTACATACCCAATACCTGTAGAAGTCAGTGGTGGTGTCCTTAGGCGGAGGAGTGATTTAACAACTTACCACGAAGAGGCAGATGTTATCATCGTACAACAAATGGCGAAGCTTGCAGAAAATGGGGCCACAGGCATAAATGTATTATGTGATGATACAGGCATCTTCGTTTCTTCCACTTCTACCATAAACTTGGCCTCAGCTGCCAATTTACCATGCAAGCCATTTATCCAGACAGAGCCATAATTGATGTAGTAGCATCGGCAAAGACATGCCAAGGTTGTCCCACAGCTTCTGACAATGCATGGCCTATCTGGGTGTGACACAGTTGTGCTGCTGTTTGGCGTTAGCAAGCCACTGCCCTCAAGACTCTTCAAACAAGCAGACTCTGAAAGAAGCTGGGGGAACTGGATACTGCTATGCCAGATTGCCAGAGGTCATCTATGAAGCTGCTAACTTCATAGCCAAATGCTATGGATGTCTGAGTCCTCCTTCAACAAGAGAAGCATTTTCTGAAAATGCTCACTACCGTATGCCCATGTCCAGACAGCAATCTGGAAAGCTGCTCTTGACTCAAAGCCTCCCTCTTTTGACCCATTGAGTATGGATGGATGCGGAATGAAGCCACAAGGACCCTGATGCCACTTACGCTGCCCACTGATATTGCCCTTACTCCCTCAGAAATTATGGAAATGATAAGATGTGGTCAAACAAGCCCTTGATGAGGATGATGAACGTATCGAACCATCTGACTGTAGCTGTTTGTAGTTACCTGAACTTGACTCTTGAGAGGTCAATAAAGATAACACCATACCTAACACTGTAAGCTGTGAGTGTTAGTTAAGGATGAACTGAAATAAGCTTTTTGATCAACCTCCTGCTATCTTGAGTGTCAAGTGATAACTACTGGGGTGAGGAGGGTCGAATAAGCTGATCTAGGATCTTTGGAATGCGACTTGAAAGTGGAAAATACCCATTATGTGGTCTGACCATGATACCTCACAGTTCATGGAAAATTACGGCAGGTGATAGAATTATATAATACAAATGTATTAATCCATATTTATGTAAGTGCAACTGTCTATTAAACAGGGGCGAATACATGACTGCTAACTTTAAAGGCTGCACATGAGATGGAAGAATATGAATTTTTTTTTTACAATATCACTTAATTTGCATATTTTGAATAAAGGAATGTTTGGAAAATATTATTTTTGGTCTAGTTTTATTAAGAGACACTGAAAACATGGGTATAGACACCTTTCATTTGATTATATCCCTTGTAGTTATGGAAATATTACAAAAAAAGAAGCTTACCTGGATTAATAAGTACAGGTACTTCAGGTGTCCATGTGATTCAACAAGGATCATATACTGACGTCATGCCTAACATGAGAGATTAGGAGTGTTGAAAGTGAAAGTGGGTCCCATAGACCTGATTGTCCTTTAAGAGCAGTGTGGATACAGCACATGGGAGATAACTACCGGTATGCCCAAAGTTTGAATCACCCTCTTCTGTTGATGGGGGTCGTTGTGTTTACAACCAAAATTGAAGAAAAAAAAAGCGTTAAGGACACCACATTGCAGCGCTTGACAGGGAGGCGTGGGGGTAAAATTAACTTATAATACTGGAATTGGTTCATTTTACCACCACACCTCCTCATCAAGCACCTCAGAGCAGTGTCCTTAGCTAATCTATTTTTTTTAACTCTGGTTTTAAACAGGAGGCGAGAGATGGCTTACGCTGTATGAGTGTGTTGCCATGATTATTGAAAAAAATACGTCAAAACAATGCCTGAAAAGAAATAATTTTCTTAGATTTCTAGAAAGAAAAAACAATAAATCAAAATAAAATTGGAAGTGACTCTTACGTTGTGAAAACAGGACTCACCCCACATGTAGAAGCTGCCTGACACCTAGGTAGCCACTCACCTATGAAATAGGTTAAAATCATTAATTTAGACCTGAACAGCCAACAAATTACCCTTGTCAAAGACACTTGACTTGTATACACACCTTCAGTCTTTTATCTGTTTTATCAACTCAATAATCACATGTGGCACCAAGAACACATGTACTAATTCTTAAACGTTCTCAAAGTGGCTAAGAAGTCTAGTTAATAGACAGGGTAAAGAAAAATTTCTGACATGTTGATCGGTAATTAAGTGTCCCTGGCTTAAGGTGTGGGGGTACTGCTGATGACCAAAGACGGACACCTGGTAGTGACGCGTCGGGCCGGGTGGACGGGCGAGTACCCCGGAGCCCTGGACAGACCAGGAGGCCACCCGGAGCCTGGAAGGGTCTTCACGTCTGGCGGATCACTGAAACCTGAAGACGACAACTGGGAAGTTGATGATGCTGTATTGGATGAGGTATGTCTGTAGGGAGGAGAATGAATGAGCCAGAGAGAGATTAGAAAGTAGGGAAAATAAAAGAAAGTTGTACAGGAGCGAAAATTAGAAAGACTGGAAGTAAGAGAAATATACTAAAAACTTTTCTTAGACAAAAGAAAGAATAGAGATTAGGGAAGCAAGAGAACAGTTGTAAAAGAATTCCAAGGACAGATAGAGCAAGTTATATATATATATATATATATATATATATATATATATATATATATATATATATATATATATATATATATATATATATATATATATATATATATATATATATATATATATATATATATATATATATATATAATACACACACACACACACAGTAATACCTCGGTTTGAGTTCTGTTCTGGCATTCCACATTTTACCAGAGAACCGAAATACCCAATTTGCGGTGCATCTACTCATATACGTGAGGAGGCGGGCTGGCGGGCAGGGAATGCGCCTAGTTGCATCATAAAACATTACAGAGTTCTTCACCGCCACCCACCACAGCCGGCCCAAGTCAGTGATAGTGATAGTGAGGATATGGACTTATATGGACTTTGAGGTTTGACAAAGAGGCCCATGCATCTCTGGTGGGATAGTGATACAATTGATACAAGTGATACAGGCGAGGCCAATAATCTGCCCTCTGCCTAGAACAACCCCCATCCCGTGTGCCCAGCCATCTTTTCTACTAATGTAAGTGTTAAAAAACCTATATATTGATATTTCTCTTAATTATTAATTGTGTGCATACCATCATAAAATTAAGATGTTATTTTTACTATAACGTGGGTATTGTGTCTGAAAAAGTTAGGTTGGGGATTAAATGATCTCTATTTAATTAATCCCATATGTTCTGTTATTCCATTTGCGTTTCTCGTTTCATATATATATATATATATATATATATATATATATATATATATATATATATATATATATATATATATATATATAAAATTGATAAAAAAATTTAAAAGTTAAAAAGGGGAAGAAAGAGGAGACATTATAAGGACAGAGAAAGTAGAGAATTAAAAATGAGAAATAGGAGTTATGTTACGGAGGAGAGAAAGTGATAATTGTGAAGAAATAGAAAGTTAGAAATTGAAACATATTATAATTTATGACTTTAAACAATTAGTATCATCTGAAAATATATTTCCTCCTTCCGCCCGTCCCTCCCCCACACTAATGTTAAGTTTCATATTTACATGAAATTTCAACATACCAACCTTCACTATTTCTCAACCATAACCATTTAGTCCTGACCTTTAACCTCTTGACCCCGGTTAGGTGTGGAGCTCAGCGGCCCAGGAGGTGGAGGACGAGCTTGGGGTTGCCAGAAGCCAAATGAGTGACCTCACCTTGATGGGGATGGACCTCAACAGGGAGGCCGGGGGGAGGCCTTCCCTCGAGTTCTTCACAAAGTGCGTTTGTTGTGTAGCACACAATTGCGTATGTAATAATATATAAAAATAATAGGTTGAATGGGCTAAGGTCATCGACCTTGGTATGGGCTGAATATTATATGATTGTGGTGTCTAACAGTAATTTGCATGTGACAGATACTGGCGATAGAGAAGTGGTGTCACAGCTTTGACCCAAACTGACAGATGATATCATGATGATTAGAAAAAGCTGAGAGAGTCAGTGTACATAGCAACTGTTTATACTGTAAGTGGTGTGAGAGAGAAAATATTATTGCACACCTTAAATTATCTGTACTATGGAGAGAGAGAGAGAGAGAGAGAGAGAGAGAGAGAGAGAGAGAGAGAGAGAGAGACTTCTTCCTGTCCAGGTTGGAGCTAAGCAGCAGTGAGATGACAGAGGTGTACAGCAGAGGCTGCCAGGCTGAAGTGGATGAGACTATAGCCATCCACCTCCTGCCCCCACCCACACTGATCCATCTCCACCATCTCCTCCATCCACCTCCATCCCCAGGTAAGACTACTATCCTCTACCTCCACCCACATTGAAGTGACCAGTACATCACGGTATAACAGTAAACATAAGTACAGTCTCTCCTCGACTTACGACAACCCGGACATACGACCGCCATGGCCATATAAAATATTTTTCCCATTACGTATTTTCGAGTCCCGAAACGTTTGGTTGTAATGTGACCCCGTACGACAGCGTGGGCTGGGCCGCCTCGTGGTGTACAGCATCCATGCCGTAGCCCGCTCAGTTGTTGTTGTTAGTGATTGCGCCGTGTACTGACAAAATTTTCGTTTGTAATTCCCTTTAAAATGGCTGGCAAGTTTAAAAGTGAGAGTTATCGTGGTGCTGAGAAGAAAAAGAGACAGTCAATTACTTTTGAGATGAAAATGAAAATAATAATGCAATATGAAAATGGAAAAACGTTAGCGCCATTTCACGCGACGATATCAACAATTTTGAAGGACAAGGAACGTATTTGTGAGGTAGTGAAAGGATCAGCACCTATAAAGGGAACAATAATAACGAAAAAAAGACAAGGTCCTCTTCATGAGATGGAGAAATTACTTGTGGTGTGGATGGAAGTTCAGCTGCAAAAGCGTGTACCCTAAAGCCTTCTAAAGACACAGGCTAAGGCAAGAAGCCTTTTCGAAAGCCTGAAAGAGCAGGCAGGAGATGAGTGTGACCAAAACTTCACAGCAAGTCATGGGTGGTTCCACAGGTTTAAGAAACGTTACAATTTGCACAGTGCAAAGGTGAGTGGAGAGGCAGCAAGTGCTGATGTGGGGGCTGCTGAAGCTTTTAGGGAGGAGCTAGATCGTGTCATTGTGGAGGGAAATTATTTGCTTGAGCAAATATTTAATGTGGATGAAACTGGCTTATTCTGGAAGCGCATGCCAGAACGGACATACATCCACAAAGAGGCGAAAACCATGCTGGGATTCAAGGACCGAATTACACTGCTGTTGGGGGGGGTGGAATGTAGCTGGTTTCAAGGTAAAACCCTTCATGATATATATCATTCAGAGAACCCCAGGGCTTTTAAAAATGTCAGCAAGCACACACTGCCAGTGTTTTATCGAAGTAATAAGAAAGCATGGATGACCCTAGCACTGTTTGAGGATTGGTTCCTGAGTTGTTTCATTCCACGAGCCAAGGAATATTGTCTGCAACAAAGGGTTGCGTTCAAGTTTTGATTAATTTTAGATAATGCTCCGGGACACCTACACACCTGGACGATATGCACCCTGATGTTAAGGTAGTCTACCTTCCACCAAACACTACCTCTATCATCCAACTCATGGATCAAGGCGCTATTGCTGCTTTTAAAGCGTATTATTTATGTACGACCTTCGCTCAGGCTATTGCTGCTACTGAAGGTGAGAAAATACTCAGAGAATTTTGGAAGGACTGCACCCTTCGCAATATACAAAGAACATAGGTGCAGCATGGGATGAGGTTACCGGTCAGTGCATGAATGGAATATGGAACAAGGTCCTGAAAAGATATGTGAACAGTTTCAAAGGATTTAATGAAGATGAAGCAATTTCTGAGATTAGTAACAAGATAGTGGAGTTGGGTAAACAGCTGGAGTTAGAAATTGATAATGAAGATGTTGAGCAGTTGGTTGAAAGTGTAGCAGAAGAGCTAAGTAAAGGGGATCTTATTGAACTGGATGCACAGAAAATTGCAAAGGAAGGAGAGACAAAATTTAGAAGAAGAACCTGAACCCCCAAAAAAATTTTCAGCAAAACAAATGGCAGAGGCATTTGCTACTATTAATAAGGGGATGCAAATGTTTGAAGAAATCGATCAAAATGTTGAGCGTTTTGCAAAAGTTGACAGACTGATCCAAGGTGCACTTGCTTACTACAAGGAGATTTACAATGAAAAGAAAAAGCAAACTGTGCAGTCTAAATTGGACATATTTTTTAAGAAGTCCCCCACTGCTGTCTCTTTACTCCCTAAAGATGATCCAATACCTTCAACAAGCAAGTATGTTAGCCTGTCTGAGAAAAGTGAACTTGATGACCCACCCAGCCCTGTCTCCTCCTCTGCTTCACCCAATTGATATAGTCTCCATGCTTAATTAAAAAATTATTGAGGTCCCGTGTGCATTCAGCTGACTACGTACATTAAAGGTAATTGCACAGTTACACTATTCATTTTTCATTATTGATTACTTTTACTGTACTGTATTTCGTTTTAGAATTTCTATGTATTATTTTTGCCTTTTCGACTTACGACCTGGTCGTCGGGACGGAACCCCGTCGTAAGTCGAGGAGAGACTGTATGCTTGTGGGGCTAATACATTTTTAATACACAATACAGTTTTGTATTGTACCACAGTTGGCACGATCAGTACAGTGAGGCACAAGAATCTGTTTGAGCAATGTCATGTGGGGTTTATAGTGGCACATACTTAAACCCAGTCTGATCATCAGTTGGGGCGACATGGTTGTTGTTTCTCTCATTTGTTAGTGGTCGAACCCAAGGCTACAGAGGTGTGAATTTGTTTAAGGCGTAAAAGCTGCTGCCGACACAAACACACTTTCTTTATGTTTACAATGTTCGTGACTTGGTGTTCACCTATAAACCAGGAAAACCCTACATTTGCCGACTGCCCTGGTGATAATTTTTCCAGGAATATGATCTTCCTTGTGATTAACACCTAGGTCCCAAGTTACTGTCGAGTGCATCGTTAAATAATTAATGCAAAGCACATTGCCTATAGTTTCACCCTGCCAGAGGATCAAGCCTCGAACTTCTCATTTGCTAGGTGGGATTGCTCTTTCAAGACAAGACTTGACCAACACTGGCACAGGTACAGAGATCCTGGAGCCAGTACAGCTCCTCCCCGACTTACGACGGGGTTAGGGACCCAAATCCAGGTCATAAGTCGGAATGATCCTAAGTCGGAAATGCAAAAAAATAATACATATAAAATTTAAAATAAAAATACAGTACAGTAAAAGTAATCAATAATGAAGAATGGATATACAGTGTTACTGTGCACTTACCTTTAATGTTGTCAGCCGAATGCACATGGGGCTCCCATAATTTTCTATTTACATGATACATGGAGACTATATTAATTGGATGAAGCAGAGGAGACAGGGCTGGGTGGGTCATCAATGTCCAATTTAGACTGCACAGTTTGCTTTTTCTTTTCATTATAAATTTCCCTGTAGTAAGCAAGTGCATCTGAGACCATTCTGTCAACTTTGGCAAAACGCTCATAATTTTGATCCATTCCATCAAACATTTGCATCCCCTTATTAATTGTAGCAAATGCCTCTGCCATTTGCTTCACTGAAAAATTTTTGGTGGGTGCAGGTCCTTCTTCTACATTTCAACTCTCTTCTTCCTCTGCATTTTCGTGTGCTTCCAGTTCGATAAGATCCTCGTTACTTAGCTCTTCTGCTACACTTTCAACCAACTGTTCAACATCTTCATCAATTTCTAACTCAAGCTATTTACCCAACTCCACTATGCTGTTACTAATCTCAGAAATAACTTCATTTTCATTAAATCTTCTGAAACCGTTCACATATCTTTTCAGTATTTTCTTCCATATTCCATTCATGCACTGTTCTGTAATCTCATCCCATGCTGCAATAATGTTCTTTATACATGTCAAAATGTTGTAGTCCTTCCAAAACTGTCTGAGCGTTTTCTCACCTTCAGTAGCAGCAACAGCCTGAGCGAAGGTCGTACGTAAATAATCAGCTTTAAAAGCTGCAATAGCACCTTGATCCATGGGTTGGATGACAGAGGAAGTGTTAGGTGAAATGTAGACTACCTTAACAGCAGGGTGCATGTCGTTCAGGTGTGGTGGGTGTCCCGGAGCATTATCCAAAATTAGCAAAATCTTCAATGCAATCCCTTGTTGCAGAGAATACTGTAGTGGACGTCTCCCCTACAAACTGCGTAGCTGCATCCCACCTGCGACGCCTTCCCTAGCAACCAAACGAGCGGCGTCACCAGATGCTACCGTATCCTAGCAACATGACTCATAGATGACTCACGGCTGCTGGGTATATAAGCTCTGTCTCTCCATTGAGATTCATTCTGGCCATTCTACTACAACACGCAACACCTCCTCCTCCGCCGCTGCCTGGCGGCCCACGCCTCTCCTCCGCCTGCCTGGCAGTCCTCGCTCCCGCCAGCGAGCATGGCGACCCACCAGCTGTCCTTCTCTGAGCTTCCTCACCAACCAGCTCTCATTCTGGCCCATCTTCCTGAACCCGCAACACCTCTTCCAGCAAGCTCCACGCTGTCCAGCTTTCATTCAACCAGGAGGCCAGCAACAGGCAACATCTTCTCTAACGAAGCTCCTGCACATCTACCTCCTTCAACACGCTAGTCACCGAACGTCTCTACTGAGCAGCTCCTCACCACACGGCACCTCCAGCACCAGACTGTCTATCATATAACTTATATTATACAAGAAAACCACCTTAGAGTTTCCATCCATCCTGAGTGCTAGACAACATTATACCACGAACCCCTACAATACTCCTTGGTTCGAGGAATGAAACAATTCATGAACCAATCCTCACACAGTCTTAGGGTCATCCAGGCTCTCTTGTTACTCCGATAAAACACTGGCAGTGTGTGCTTGCTGACATGTTTAAAAGCCCTTGGGTTCTCTGAATGATAGATCATGAAGAGCTTTATCTTGAAACCAGCTACATTCCCCCCAACTGAAGTGTAATTCGGTCCTTGAATGCCTTGAAACCTGGCATTGTTTTCGCCTCTTTGTGGATGTATGTCTGTTCAGGCATGCGCTTCCACAATAATCCAGTCTCATCCACATTGAATATTTGCTCAGGCAAACAATTTCCTTCCACGATCATACGATCTAGCTCCTCCTTAAAAGCTTTGGTAGCAATGACATCAGCACTAGCTGCCTCTCCACTCACCTTAACATTAATGTAAACTGTAGTGGTTCTTAAATCTGTTAAACCACCCATGACTTGCTGTGAAGGTTTGATCGCACTCATCTCCTGCCTGCTCCTTCAGGCTTTCAAACAGGCTTCTTGCCTTAGCCTGTAAGGTTAGAAGGCTTTAGGGTACACACTTCTGTATCTGGTCTTCCATCCATATCACCAATAATTTTTCCATCTCGTGAATGGGACCTTGCGTTTTCTTCGTTATTATAGTTCCCTTTATAGGTGCTGATCCTTTCACTACATCACGAATATATTCCTTGTCCTTCAGAATAGTGGATATGGTCGAGTGCGAAAACCCTAGGTAGCATGAAATTGTTGCTACAGTTTTTCCATTTTCATACTACATTATTATCTTCATTTTCGTCTCAAAAGTAATTGCCCGTCTCCTTTTCTTCTGAGCACCACCAGAACTCTCACATGTACGTTTTCCAGTCATTATAAAGTCAATTAAATACGAAAATAATGTCAGTACACAGCTCGATCAGTTGCAGATATGACAGCCAAACACCAACTAAGCGTTCTACTGAGTGGGTGCTGTACCCACGCGGTGACCCAAGCCACACCACGCTCTCGTACGGGACGGAAACGTTTCGGTATAGAAAATGTGCGCGTCTTTTGAAAATTTTTTTGGTCCTGACTGCGCGGTCGTATGTGCGGATGGTCGTTACAGACTGAGCAGGTTGTAAGTGAGGGTGGTCGTAGGTCGGGTAAATCGGGGAGGAGCTGTATTTGCAACCAGTGCATGCCAGAGATATGACTGACCATCCAGTGGCTAATGAACTGATTAGTGAAGAGGATAAAAGTACTGTAAAAGTAGATTTAAAGGCATGTAAGGACAAACTTTGTGATCCATTACTGAACTTGTTTGATAGGTCACTAAAATTGGGCATTGTACGAGAATCATAGTGGATATAAAATTTGATACTGATTTTCAAAAGGGGACAGACTCACTAGCACCAGTTACTGGATGAAGTACCGGTAATTATAAATTCAATTTACAATAAAATTTTTCAGATGATTAAAACAAATCAGTAGATAGCATTATTAAAGTAATCATGTCGAGAAGTTTCAAATATAAGTTACATAGATACACGAGTGATAATAGTTGTGGTGTAAACAAGAGCTGCCTCACTTGGGCCAGAGCTGTGGATCGAGTTCGGCCAACCGGGTGCCACATTGTTACTCAGCAGGTGGGAAGTCTTCTTGGGCTGTCTCCCACATAGTTTATAAACATACTTATCCAATTGTAAACATGTATGACAATTTTACCGAATAAACATCATCATCTTTACAGTACAAGTGCAAACTTCATCAGCTGAGTAACAATATGATGCCTGCATGTCACCAAGTTGAACAAACTCACTCTATCTACCACTCTTACATGGGCTAGTAGGCCTACAGCAGTTTCCTCATTCATGCTCTAATACAGTAATCTTACAAACAAGTTTCACTGTCTCAAAAACACGTTATTATGTCCCACAAATACGTTTCGGTGTCTAATTTATTTCAATATCATTACATAATTTTTTAACCCTTCATTTGTTATCTAATGTTCTATGTTCCATCAGCAAAGATCCACAATCATAAGCAAGGTTCAGTATCTCATATCTGTGTTCAGCGATTTGAAGTTATGTTTGTGAATGCCTTTCTTTTACAGTGACTTCTACCTAACCACAGCGACTCTCAAATGTTTCTTATGTTTCATTTTTACTCAACATTTTTGAAATTTCACTAGATTAAGTGATTCTTGACCAAGATTAAGACATTAATAACAATATTTCAGGGGTTTTACCAAGTTTTAGAGAATCACCAAAGTGTTCATCACTACCCGGTATGCACAATATATCATGTGAATTTACTCTTTTTTTTCAGAGGTCCAGGTTTCACCAGAGTCAGCCAGCAGATCAGAAGGTGTGAGGGGTGAGAAAAGTGAGGTGAGAGAAGAGGAAATTACAATGATTGTGAGTGAGAGTCTGGTGAGGGATGAGGAGAGTGAAATCAGACAAGGTGTAACCGAGATGCAAGTGGGAGAAAATGAGAGGAAACACCTACAAGAGGCACGATGGGTGGTAAGGGAGGCCACGCCAGCACTGAGGGGCGCCCTTCTTCTGGGATTCCACCACTGCCTTCTACCTAAATCACCACGTGCTAAGTGTGTGTGTATGTAAAAAGATTTAAATTATAGCTAAACATAGGACACTGCAGCCTGGGTCCTTGTGATAGAAAGTCATTACAGGTATCATAATTAAAAATAGGACAGGGTTGAGAACGTTGTTCAAATGGTGTTCGATTTAATGTAAAATCTTGAGATTTTGATAGTAAATTTCCTGTCAATGAAAATATTTAGAATGAAGTTGGGTAAATGCCCTCTTAAACATAAGGTGCATAAATTTGTCAAAAGAATATCTAGCAAAAAATTTAACACACATTGTACATGAATTAATTTCCCTAAATCTGGAAGAATTACATTTCCATATTATTCAGAGCATATTTTATCAATCAAGGTAAACAAAATTTGAATGAGTTACTTGGTGAGCAAGGTGACTATACCTGAACCATGAGTGGTGTCTGGCTGCCTCTCAGCCCCTGAGTGTTAATAAGTGATGACTATTGCTATGACAGTTGAAAGCCAGTTTTCTTATGAAATATGAAAATAAGCCTACTGATTCAAAGAGCTGACAGAGAATATATTATATTGTAGTTTGAGGAATATAAATGAAGAGGTGAACAAGTGAATACACTCAAGACACCTGATCCTGTGACCATTCCTGCTGTGATGGGCAAGAATGTAATGTATTTTTACTCAACAAAAGTTTTCGAGTGATGCAAACATATATATACAGTAGCATCTTTTCTACCTGCTTTGCTTGCTACAATTCCAGCTAACAAAAATTCCAAGAAATAGGGAAAAAATATAAAAAAAGCAATTGCATTATGGTCAAATATTTATTAACAGGACAATCTTTATAATTTGACAGTAACTGTGTACTTCAATTCTGAAAAAAAAGTATAATTGTATATAACTGCCATACCAGAAGTTCAGCTGGAAGTGTAGATCATGGCTTGGTACCCTCAAAAAGTCACAAAATGAGACTCAATTTTTTTTTAATTTAAAACATGGCAGCAAGTAACATAAATAAAAACTCCACACAACAAGAAATCCCTAATGTCGACTCTTTTTCTTGTGCTTTCGGGGAGGAGAACTGGTGTGTGATCTTCGTTTTCTTGGAGACCGTGACCTGTGTCTTCTTGAACTTGGAGATCTTGAGTGAGTGCGGTGATGAGACCTTTGAAAGATTTCGAGCATATATGAATTCATCACATTATTAACTTATGTTTCATACACTCCTGTTATCTCATTCTAATCACCAAATAAAGCTTTAAATATTCATGCAAAGAAAATAACTGTTACTTAAGCAAACCTCATAGCACCCACAGGAAGGAAGGAAGGAAGGGAGAGAGAACGGTAATACAATTACAATAATGGGGTATCAGTGTTCTACCAGTGACACAGAGAAGTATTTCACAAGGATGTACAATCTCACCCAAAAGTTTGTTAACTCTCCCAGCCAGCTATTGCTGCACTGCCTGCTTCAGATGTTTGAAACTGTCTCAGTACCAACCAGAACATGAAACCGATACGAATGAATCTAAAGGTTCGAAGTAACAGACTCAAGTTCATACATCTGAAGCAAGCAGTGCAGCAATAGCTGGCTGGGAGAGTTGACAAACTTTTGTGTGAGACTGTACCAGGTGCATCCTATGGTGCACTGCTTGGTGTTCCAAGATGTACCATTGCAGACAAAAATCCTCGAATGCATGGCACTATCTGGAATTTACTTCTGGGCCATATATATGATTGTCCATACCTAATACTGCTTTTCAGCACATATTATGTTAAAGCCACAAAATGGAAAAGTATGCTCAATAATACAAAGAAAAATCTGAGAAAATACATGCGTTAAAATTCCTATCCCCTTCACCTCAAGTACCTAAGTGCCAGATACTGCCAAGTGTTAGGGAATTTTGTCCACAATTGTCCATGGTACACCTGTCAGAAAAAGTATCCCAACACTAAGGTCTGATGGAAAACAGAATGACCAAGTATGTACAGACACAGATGTATCTGTTGGGTCGGCACCTCTGATTATATAGGCCTAACAACTTATATCGTGCAATATTATGTGATTTAGATTAATAAAATCATAGTAAACCTAACATCTACATTAAAATCAACGGTAATACAGGTACACACCACCTATTTTCCGGCACCTTTGGTTCCTGAGCCTTGCCGGACCATCCATTTTGCCGGATTAACAGAGGTCATATATAATAATTAAGCAATACACCTTTGAGCCACTAGCTATACACCTACCGGTATCTTTAAAGCACCGTGGCTGTTAGAAACTCATCACTCTACCATGTTCAGTACTCTTACCACCTTTCAATGTTTTTCTATTGCACATTTGCTTTTTGGAATCACTTTCTGCATAGAATCTCATTACTTTTTCTCTTTGTTTCTTTTTATCATACACAGTTGACGAGCCAATACCAAACTGAACACTCACCCGTTGCACCGAAACACCACGGTCAAGTTTTCTCAAGAGTTCCACCTTATCTTGTATCGATATGGACTGGTGTTTATGCTTTACACCACCACTGACACTTGTACCTGCCTTTGAAGCCACAGCTGAGGCTAAATATGTCTAAAATAAGCTGATAATTACACAAAATCTAGGAGCTACCACCAGCAACTGCAGAGTAAACAAACAAAAGTGAGCGCGGTTAACACATAACGCCATCTGTGGGCATCCCAGTAAACTAATCTGGAGGTAGCGGGAATTTTATCCAGATTAAGAGAGGTGCCGGACCATATGTTGCAGGAAAATCGGTAGTGTACCTGTACTTTAATGATGAATGATTAGGCATGTATTTTGTGGCAAACAGTAGGAAAGGATTATTTAAGGTCTGGAGAGAACAGTTGCCATTCCCAAAATAATATGTATTTATGGGAGAAAATCAACAGGTAGCAAAAGGGCTGACTGAAATATTGTACAAATAAACCTTCCTAATCTAGACCCCAATTAACCAGATATCGCTAATTCTGGACTGAATCCAGACGAACGTGAGCTTTCATATGTCACTTAATTCAGAAGCTACAGTATACGTCAATATGAACTGAACTTCTGTATTACAGCAATACCCTATTTAGAGCTCTAAATAGGTTCCTAGGTAAGAGATCTAAAACAGAATCAGCTTGAATTTGGGTCATTAAACCATAGTTCCAAAAACTCTATTTCCTACCTTAATCTGGATGTTAGGAAACATTTTGTTATAGTGCTTGTACTATTTATTCAATAACATCCACAAGAACCACTGCTCTTTATCATAATTAAATTTATCCGGTAATTAGTGGTATGAGTGATCATGAAAGTTATGATTGAGAGGGAGCAGTCATAGTGGTAAGCAAAGCTGGGTGGCGGAGGACTGGAGAAGCAGGGTGGGTGCAAGGAGAATGAAAGGTGGCGGTGATGATGGTGATAGAAGTGGTGGTGGTGGTGGTGGTGATGAGGAAGATGATTATGTGGTGGGGGAAGGTGCAACTGTTTCTATGGTAATGCTGGCTGCTTGCTGCTAGATGCAAGTGAACAGCTGTTTCCAGTCCTCAGGTAATAAGACTTGAGATAGAATTATAAAATTAATAAATATTAACAGAATCAAATGTTAATTACATGTTTGAAAATGATGAGATCAGCAAGAAAGAGATCACATGCATAAACCACTAATATCACCATGCACTTACACTTGTCAACCACGCACTTACACATGTCTCTCAGTCCTCCACCATGCAAATAGGCTTTTCAGCCACAAAACATTTTGTTGTGCATAATAACATACACTATGAAGAATTTTTAAGATCAATTCAACAAAATGTAGCCATGGGTAGTAACCAACAAGTGGCAATACATCCCAGCGGGAGTGGGAGATGATGTGGAAGAGGCTTTTTCTTACAACTTTTGGCACACTTGCAACATTATTACTTGAAGGGTAAAAAAGCAGTCGCAATAATTTAAGGAAATCATTCAGGTAAGATAGCGTGTAGCTAGTCCAGCATAAGTAGCGCAACTTGCATAAAAGGATATGCCTGTTTGTCACACTCATTAGCTGAGGATGTAAACAACAATGGCTGTACTGTATATACTGTATTGTGCAAATTAATTTCAACGAAAAGTGATGAGTATACATTAACACTCACACACTGTGACCCAATCCTGAGTCAATCATAATCTCAACCAATTGTCACTGACAGGTACTGTATTTGAGTCACTTGAAAGAAAGATAAAGAAAAAAATCACCCAAAATCAAATACAGACTGGTTATAATTATGAGAAAAGAGCTTCTGTAAAGTTTTGGGGTCATTTTTGTGTTAAAGTAGACAGACCACCTCTCCCCTCTAATTTGAGTGTCCTGAATCCATGACCCACACTGTGGTATAGGATTTCCTATATCTTGGAATGCAGACTAGCTAGAAAATTTTTTGGTGCCGTTTCTGTTTTTTTTTTGGGGGGTTATATTTAATATTGTAACAATAATGGATTTATTTTTCATTATGTTAATAGCTACTTTTTCAGAAAACTGAGTAACTGAAGTACTGTATATCTTTATGCATTTCAGGCCATGCTCCCACTATTTATAAGACATAATCGTACACACTATGCACACTGGGGAGTAATACATGTGAATGAGATGCACCAACTTCCAGATGTGCACCAAAATTTCAGGAAGGGAATTTTGTAGTAGAGGTCAACTTATAAGTTTACCAAGTTGACCCAGACCATAATCAGGAATAGATCAATGCCACTGTTAAGAAAGGAGGTGGCACAATTGGCATAACTATAACTTCTACTGTTTTCAGTAGATGGACCTTCTCATATAACCTGATATCACATGAAACAAAACTTTTGTACAATGTAGATACAGAACCTGAAGATATGCCTCAGCACAATGAGTCCATGAGTTCTAGACAGAAATATAACCAAGATGAAGACAAACTGATGGCTACAATGATGTCACTGAAATTATATTCTGCCGAGGGAGTACCATTATTGCAAAATATTGTGACAAAAGACTTGGTCACACAGAAAATCGGAGGGTCATTTACATGCTAGAGAGAAAGAACAGGAGCAACTCAACATATTTGTGAAGGACAAAGGTTTATGAGCTTGCACCAGTAGCACTGGCCAAAATGAATGGAGATCTATGGACAGGGCTCAAATCTGTTTTGCCCCATGTTCTAACAGCAGAAATACAGTGTCCGACAAAATTGTGTAAAGGGGAGGTTGGTGATGATGTGACCCTTATTGTTGATGGCCAGGCTATGGTGGTTGGTATTTGAAAACCAAAGGAAGCAGCAACATTTCGAGACTTGTATGAAGTATTTAGAAGCACTGTTCTTTGAGAAGATTCTTTCAGCTGCATCGACATTGTATTTGATAGGTTATGAAGTCTCAATAAAGTCATCGACATGAGATAGGCATGCCAAAGGAGCCACCAGACCTATAAGAAGAGTAATTGAGAATAGTGATGTACCTCTGCCTTTAGACTGGAGTAATTTCTTAGCTTTGTCAGAAAATATGGTTGATTTGGCACGGTTTCTCTCTGAAGAGATGATAAATGATGGTCGTAGTGCACTAATGCTTGTCATATCTGGGGAGTTAATTGACAAGACAAAAGTGAAATCAACCAAAGTGACAACACATCTGTGCTTCAAGCAAGACATCAAGAGACTGACACAAGAACCATTCTACACTGTATTTATAGTCAAAGATCATAATAGAACATGCTCGAGACACTGACATATTTCTGCATTTCTTGCTCACTGCACAAATCTGGTAAAGAGTTGGCCCAGCCAAGAAAAGAAAAATTATTCCAATACACACACTTCTTGATGGAGGCTATTTAGCTTTCCATACTTTAACTGAAATGATGTTACTTCGCACTTTGCTGGTCACACAAAGAAAACTGCACGGAAAGTTTTTGAGCAACACTATGCGCAACTTCACAACCTGAAAAAAGGTGACTAGACCCAGGAAACATTCAAGGATGTAGAAGAGTTTGCTTGCAGACTTTATAAGGTTCAAGATACAAATATTACTGACAAGGCTCGGTGGTTGTTGTTCATGAAGAGTAACACTCCTGGATCCCTGCCACCGACAAGTGATGCCTTAAAATTCTATGTGATGCGTTCACACTACCAGGCAGCAATATGGAGACAAGCTCAAATTAACTAGCCTAATCTACCCTCTCCTGAATCCCTGCATTGGAAAATGATAAGAACAAATTAGTGCCTATACTGATGTCTCTTTCTCCAGTACCTTAGTCCTGTCTTGTGTTAATCTCATGTGGTTGCACATCAGGGTGTTGGAGTTTATATTGTAAATGTAGAAAGTCTGGTATGTCTTGTACAGCACAGTATATCAGCAAAGTCATTGGTAACTGTGTGTGTGCGCATTTTTGAGGATGAGTAGTTTTGGTAACAAAGTCTAATTTGGCAGGTACAGTATATAATTATTTTGGGGGAAAAAATGGAAGGAAATCTTGTTTTTTAAAACAATAAATTTATATTTCTTGATATCTGTATAAAAATGCTCAGTTTATGTATGTTGATACCACTTATTAATTCTTATGAAGTGTTCAAGAATATTTGAGAATGTGTAAAAAAAATTTCCACAAACCAATACTGTGATATTTTTATCCACTGCCATGTATAAGAGACTTCTTAGATTTTAAAGACTGCATGTCTCCTTTTGCCACAAAAATGTAATATATATTTAAATATTCCTGTATCATAATTATATAAAATACAATAGCATAGTATTTATTTTGAGGGGGGGGGGGGATCCATGGCATAGACGGTGTGAAATATAAACTCCTTGACCCACCAAATCTAGGAAACAACACTAAAATTATTGTTCTAGCTATCCTGCATGCCAAGATAAAGAAAATCTATACCACAGTGGTGAATGCAGTGGCCATTTTATTTTCTGTGATTTAAATGGTTGAGAGCAGTGTGACGATGTGACAGACACCAAATTTAGATTCAGCACACTCAAATTAGGGGGAGAGGTGGTCTGTCTACTTTTCCTAAAAAATGACTCTAAAAGTATGATTTTGCCAAATACTGAACAGTCTAGTATAGTAATTCCAATTGGTGCTTGAGATATGGGCAAGTCACTCCTCAAACCATTCTCTCTTATGGTAATCTAACACTTATTAGACATATGGCCACCCCTCCTAGCACAACACTTGAGCACTTCAGTAGTCTACCAACAGTCACAACTGAATGTGCTGCTCACTTGCCCTTTAAATTTTCTCCTGTTGTCCCTCTCTCACACCTCCCCTCCAATGTGCATTAATATTCATCCATAAAATTGTTTAAGTAGTTTTATAAATTTTTATTTAACACATACCTGTACTTATGAAATGACTGCCCTTACAGACTTACATTGCCACCACACAGTGCTTATGGCTTCAAGTTTTGTCCACACATACACTACTACTACTACTTTGCTGTCACTTAGAATCGAGTATGACGATCATCCAGCTACAGTATGATACAATGATATGAGTTATTAAGGATGTCACCTAGGTTGGTGAGTTCTGAGGTGATTAATGAGGCCGATGCGGGACCGGCAGGGTCAATCACAGATGTTGCACACGTAGGGGCTACACCTAGTGCGGGAGGGGCACACACACAGCTTCAAGCCACTAATTTTATCAGAAAAGGCTCACCCGTAATTCACAGTTATTGTATCATCCAATCACTAAACATTTTCCAAACACATGAGGTTTGGCATATGGTCACACAATATTATAGGTGGAGTCAGTGCCAAGCAGCCACAAGGCACTCCAGGGTGCCTACCTACAGGGAGGGATGGTTTGGCATGTCTATTTGTGTAGCAATTATAGTTGACAGGAGTTATAAACACAAGATCATGCCTCTGTACCATCCTGTTAAAATGTGTGTTATGGGTGGTTATATGTGGGTAGGCCATGGGTGGTTACATGTATGTGAGCCATGGATGGTTATATGTGGAGAGTTATATGTGGGTGGCCTGTGAACAGTTATATGTGGGCAGCCCTTTATGTTAAAGTGTGTGCTTGTATTTTTTAAAGAACCTCCTACATTGCTGAATAAGCTCTTCCAGAAATTTTTATCTAATCTCTTACCAGCATAAATTCCTCAGCATATTGAGAAACTACAGTACCACCAAACACAAGGCAACTTACTTGTGTGGTGATCTTGAACGTTTTGTGGGTCGTCTCTCCTCCGGCGATGAGCTGCGACTTCGGTGTCGGTGGTGCCTTCGTTCACTACCTTCCTCTCTCTCAATCTACCAAGATAGTGACTGAACATGTAACAAAATTCACAATGAATCACATAATAACAAGTCCAAATATTATACCCTTCTTCTCAAGCTCAACATCAATCAAGTTCAAGAAACTGGTTGACAGACAGCATAATCCATCCAACTGATGCCAAGAAACAGACTATTCCACTTCATGCATGGCAGGGAGAGATGAATTATGGAAATAAGATTGTCATCAACAACTGATAATACTCATGCTCTTCACTTTATTATATTTTCTTTATTATACAGTATTTCTAGGTCACAATAAAGTACACTAATGTTCTGAAATGATTTTTCCACAACTTTTACAATTTCATTACATGAATAAGCGGCAACATGTCTATCCATTAACCATCTCAAGGCCACGGCTGCCTTTAGAGTTGGCAAGTATGTCATGCAGTGAAGATTCTGTGGGTGTGTATGGGACCCATCTCAGTGGATATGAAGTGGATCACGCTTACAACATACTTAAGTATACAGTTCCAAAGTTCTGCATTATCTCAGTAACAGAACATTTACCGGTATTGTTGACCATGGTAAGCACTTTAAATTCATCTTTCAGGGTAAGGCACTTTCTGCTCTTTGGGGCCTTATTTGCAGGTACTTGGTTGGGCATAGTTCTCACAATGTGTGTTATTTATATGCCATGAAAGAACAAGCATATCTGCACTAAGTAATAACCACATGTAAACTGAATACTGCACAGTGCGGTAGTGTTGCTTTGAAGCGGGCAGGACCACGCGGTCCATGCTGCATCGCTCCACAGCAATAACAATGACCCACAGGATACATTAGGTATTTTTCGAATTTTTAAATAAATTTTCCAAGATTCGTGTCGATACTCAGGTGGTCTGGTGCTCTGGGTTTTTACTGTACAGTATTATAAAAGGGGATTTTCTATTACCTTTGATGAAAAATTTAAATAATCTCCTTCAAAATCCTAAGAGCCATCTTTCTTCTTCTAATCCTTAACTTCTCTTCTCATCTCTAACTACTCAAGTCCAGTAAGCAAGTGGATACAATAATTTAAAGAAAGAAACTGAAATACAAAAAATTTTGATGTAAAGTTGGCAGGAGCCATTCAGGTGGTAAAATTTGTCAAATGAGATACAATTAAGGTGAGAATATTCTGGAACATATCTGAGTTATGCTACTACCATGCCAAATTTACCAAATACTTGCATAATATTACTTGGTAATACATTCCTTGCGTTAATTTTATGGAAGATTTTCTCGCATAAATGGCACATAAACTTTGAACAAATCTTTCTGAATTTGTTTTCAAAATGAAACAAAATTACTGTACATACTGGCTGTTACCGCCACAGTAAGATAAACATGAGAGAGAGAGAGAGGGTGAGAAGGGGGGGCAGTGCTGACAACGTGTTTGTTGGTCGTCTAATATAAAACAGATGCCCTCGTCTAGGGCTGCGATTGGATGGCGATTGCTCAGTAGTCTACCAATTCTTGCAGAAGAAACAACACGCTAGTCGAACCCAAGACCCTAAAACGCAAATATAAACTCTAAATAACTTTAATAAGTATATTTATGTACTGTAATTTGATCATATTATACAACTTGTCTCCTGATGTATCAACAGTTGTAACATGTGAGTTATATTTAAGATGTTAACAGGCTATGTACTGTATATTGATTGTATTATTCATACTATGTGTCCTGAGATAACAGCATTTGTTATATGAGAATTGTTCTTTAACAGGTTTTGACCGAATTATATGGTACGCGTCAACGTTGAGGGTTTATTTCTCCAGCAACAAACCAATAACGCTCCTATGAGCGTTAACACTGGCACATAACATAAACTTTGAAGATTAAAAAAATTACACAAATGAGAGAGAGAGAGAGAGAGAGAGAGACTTGGTACATTAACAAACCTTTCTCATCATTTTGTGGCGATAATGAGCAACTTGACGATGGATGGAGTATCCAGGTTTGAGAGAACGGAGGCCCTGTTCCAATTCATCTTGGTACTGCACCACTCTCACTTCTACATCACGAAGTCGTGCCCTTCTTTCCTCACTCACATCCCTAAGCATTGAACAAAAGTAGATAAATACTGTACAAGATTCTCCCAATTAAACAGTAATGCAAATTCATACGTAAGCTCATCATAATAATATCATGCACAATAAGTGGTAACTATAAATTATAATCAAAGAATACAAAACCTCTTTTGTACAACAATTACCCTTTAAGGATTATTCACACTGGTGATGCATTATGCCCACTGGATGATTGTCAAAATAAAATTTAAAATTGGAATAATCATTTGTAATCACCTGGTATTTCAGTCGGTGACAAGCCATCATTACTACCAGTCACTAATAACAGCCAAGTTATTATACTCACTGATACCATTAACTACTGTACCTCAACTGTTATAGAAATAAGAAGCTACAAGAACAACTAAACAAAGGCAACACCAGCTCACAAAGAAAAAATCTGCACAAGCAAGACACAATGGTGTGCAATTCTAGATGAAGGAGACATACTGTATAAGGTATTGGGGATAAATCATATTTTTGGCTTGGGCCAGAGTGGGTGGGACCTGCCAGTCACTACAGTACCACAACTATGAAGCACTTGGATATCAAAGCACACTTGACCCATTCAATGCAGATATGCCACATAAGGCACAAACTAAGGGTACACTTGAAATTCAGACCAGCTGCACTGAATGGATTACAAAGAAGTGTCTAGTAGAAATTACATTCAGAGTGAAAGCTATGTAAGAATCACCATTATGTTGTCTTCCATGTGTTGTTATCATACATGATTAAATCTTACCCTTGGAGTCTGTCAAATCCTCTAGAATCTTCCGAGTAATCTGAAGTGTTGTCCTGTGACTGAGAGTCATCTTCAGATGAGTCTTTAGTCTTCCTCTTATAATCATCATATACAAGTGGAATCCCATCAAGGTCATCTTCATCTGGTGATAAAGGAAAAAATACAAAAAAAGTGGGGGGAACGAGGAGGTTTGCTTGTTAGGTAATACACAAAGCCATGGTTGTGTAAAGCTGAACTTTTAACTGAAATCACATCCTTCATACAAGAAAGGCATCCATCAGCCAGGACAAGGAAGTAAGTCACTGAGCTGACTAAATGAAGACCCTAATTTAATCAAGGAGACCGATACTTAATCAGGTACAGTGTTAAAAAATAAATATGCTTTTAATGGGTGTGATGCAGCATTATGGTCAGCATTGGGGGGGGGGGGGTGTCAGGAGGCAACTGGGCAGCCATAAGGCTTTGCTTTGGCAGCAAAATGAAGGCGTGCACTTTGAAACCAAAAATAAGCCATGCCCCCCACAGGGATAGTACCCTGTGGGTTGAAACCCATGTCTTCAATATTTTTTCTATCATACTTTATATACTTACTTATTAGTAATTAATACAAACGAATAACAACACTGTGTGCAAAACATATAATTCAGCTTACACACTAAAGCAAGATGTCACCTGGATGCTTGGTGGCAGGCTAGTGTTTATTGAGGCTCAGTTGCTGTGGGCACTCATGTTATACATTTTAGTACATAGGACATTCAAATAAATGTTCCTTTTCCAAGCCTTTTCATGAAGAGAAAATAGGATGCAATACATCCAAACCTTATTACCTTAAGAACCACTTACTTACCTGTATCACCATATGCTCATTATAATACCTAAATAAGCTGTCAAATTTTAGTAAAAATTTATTGAGGTAATTTTGATCTCGTACAGTACGAAGTAATTTTTGTTAGGTAGGATTGAGGATAACAAAAGTGGTCCTCAGCCTTTCTACTTAAAAAAATGATATGATGTAGAGTAACTTACCATGACTATTTTGACTATGCTGAGTATGTGTACCAGAATTATCATACACCGGGGTACTGTCAGAGCCATCTGCTCCCTCATCTTCACTTTGGTTGGCCTCCACTACTTCCCATTTTGAAGTTGTAACGGCCTGTGTAAGATGGTGTATACGTATTTACAGCAGTCACAATTTAACCATAAGGTATGAGAGAGGAGGAAGAGGAACAGCTTCAGCTACAATCCTAAGATATTGGTTGACCTACAAATATTTTTAATATCACATCAACTCCCCCCGTTTGGAAAATATGAAACCAACAGTGAATAATTATGGTGGATAATACTAGAATAGCTTTTGCTGTGTCCATCCGAACTACAGTATATATTAATATTTCTCTGAATAAAACCAAGTAAATATAGTAGCTACTAATATAATAAAACTGTATAGGATAAACCCCTTACAATTATATGATGTGATGAGCATGGAAAATGACTAAAATGGTGGTGATGATGATAATATTACATTACACACCTCTAATAGCCACTGAAAATGCTTCTGCTAAATTTTTGAATCTTTCATATAAAACTGACGAGTTGATTTCACAAAGGGGTACCACCATATCTAATACTTCAACTAAAACAGTCAAATTTTAAAGACAGTAATTGTAGGAAAATCATCAAGCTTAACCAAGATTATGATACCTGTAGACACTTCTACCAGCCCCCCAAAAAGTTTGTGTCAAGTTTCAGAATCTTTCATGGCAAACCACGGGATTAGATGACTTAGAGTGAGCTCATCACTGTCTGAGGGGATGGCTGAAAGGTGACAAGTGCTCCTATAACTTGAATCATGGCAGGGGCATAAAAATAAAAATTATCAAACCATACGTGAAGACATTTTTCTCTTACCACTTACCTGGGCTTGAACACGCTTGGGGCTTACACTTTCCCACTTAGAAGAAACAAATCCTGGACCAGGACCATTATCAGCAGCTATGGCACCCTTCAAGGGGATGCCATCCACACCACCAACATCATCATCATCCACTAGAAAGAATGTACATTTTGCTATGATATAAAATAATTATAAAACAACTAAACATCAGGAAGTATTTAGTTTTAAACTTAAACATGTAACAGGTACAGTAGTATATATTTGTCTGACAGCTCCCAACAGACCAACCCATTTTGCCAGTGGTCAAGGTAAAAGAAACCTGTCCCCATATATCTAAATTTCTGACATCATATTCCTTCTAGAAACTCCCAAAAGAGATAGCTAGAGCTGCAAAGCACCCAGGCTACCATAAGTAACCATACACTTAGGCTATTCATATTACCAACTCCATATACGTTATAAACAGCTACACACACTCATTCCATATTTACCTCGAAATCTGTTGATGTCTACAGTGAAACCTCTATTTATAGGACTATATGGAGAGGAATATCCGTTATAGCGAGGGTCCGTTATATATTAAACCCCCATCCAATTAACTACAATATGTAAATATGAAATTCTGTTAGATCGAGGTTTCATTATGAGAAACCCCCATCTAACAGATTATATGAAGAGAAAAATTCATTGTATCAATCTTTAAATATTTAAAATTTTATTGTAGAAAGATTTAATGTGCTTAATAACTTCCATCCTATACAATACTGACAATATTAGCATCTCTCAAATGTATTAAAATCAGTTTTTCATAGATATTCTCCAAATCTGTGAAACCCAAAATATCATTTTACTTTTTAACTACTACGGTAAACTCCCTCTAATCTGGACTAATTGGGAGGGATGGCCTGTTCAGTTTGGCAGGGGTCTGTATTGTCTATATTGCAGATTGGGAAATTCTAAAAAGTGGGGGATTTCCGACTCAAGCTACCCAAGAACACTGAACCAATATCGCAAAACTGTCATCCACTCACCTTACTCCACAACAAAATCTTGCAAAAGTCATCTGTCAACACACTTCAAGTCATTCTATTACAGTAGGGTTGTGTTACAGTACGAGACAGTGACCAAGTACAGTAAGGTCATGAAGTATCAAATCATGCTATAAACTGACCAATAGTTCAGTGTTAAGGGGGTTAGGGACCAAAGGCAAAAAAATACACTACTGTACTTAACTTTAAAGTACTCAATTCCCATATAACACAACACTCAAGACAAAAAATACGTTCTATAATGGTTCATGCGGTGTGAATTCTTGCTAAACATACATACTGTATTTATAAAAAATAGGGCCATTGAAAACCATGTAAAAGTTTGAGAGATGTGCGCAGGAAGGAAAGAGTGTGTGCAAGAAAAATTCCTAAAGATGCTACTTTTTCTCACTTCAACTTTAATTCCATTATCTCAAAACACTTTAAATAAAATTATAACTCACCTTGAGTCTGAACAAATGCTTCCTGGACTGCAGTTGTTCAGACTCGAGGTGATTCATCCCACGAGTGAAGTGTAGCAGTGGCAAGTGTTAGCAGATATACCTTGTGCTGTCAGCAATTAAGGTCAGGGGAAACTACTTTTTCATCAGCCGAGTTACTGTCTTTGTTTGATATTTAAGCTTCTCCAAGAAATGAAACATTAAAGACATATTTAATGTATTTTTTTACATTAGAGGTCACTCACAGCCTCAAGATAACGAAGCCAGAGTTGTGAACTGCTGTAAATTAAAAATCTGCCAGAGAATGTTGTGATAGTAAGAGTTGTAATAACCTGCATTAGTACAAATGGTTGCCATCTGAGGCGGGCTCATGTGATTACGTCTGATATGTTGCAGCTCATGTTAAACCAGGAATATTTTATCTAAAATGTCCAAACAAATTACTGATTTGTTTGTTTTATTTCATTTGCCAGTTACATGAGAATAGATGAGGAGAAATTGGACAATCAGGCAACTGGCAGAGTGACTGTGTGGTGGAGGTGAATCGAGAATACTGACAACAGTGACATAGGCTAGTGACTTATCAGTCAGGTCACGGGCCAAAAAATGAGAGAGAGAATGTAGACAAACATACCAGATTTAGTGGCGCCACATCACCACTGCAGCTGGGTGACTGGGCCGTACTATATTGTTATGGGGTGTATACCTTATTTATCGACTGTATTATATGAAGTCGTACTACAACACAACCCTACTGTAGTCTATACCCATTACACTCAGATCATCATGATTTCGATTTCAGGTGTTGTATATTGGGTTCAAACATGGCATGATACTGTTTTTGGAACCCATGTATGTTTAGACAAGTTTAAAGTGTTTCTGTGAACCTAAAACTCAGTATCATGCTGTCAATGAATTAAAAAACTATAACTTGAACAAATACTTAGATGTGTTGAAAATACCTATACAGGGGGTCCCAGGTTATGAATGGGTTCCGTTCATGAGGACGTTCTTATGTCGGATTTGTACGGAAGTCAGAACACATACTATGTGCATGTTGTAATTACAGAACAATGTTTAAAATCCAACTATATCATAGCTTAAGTCCTTATATACATCTAACATCACTTAATTTATGACAAAAGAAAAAATAGAATGACAAAATACAGTAATGAAAGTAAAAAATAAGTCACCATACTATTAATTTCAAGTTTAACCCAGTTCGTAAGTTGGTGGACCCCCTGTACAGTATCTTTCTAACACAGACTCACTGTAAGCACATCAACACAGAGATTCACAAGGGTTCCAAACACACTAGAGTGCCACCTATGAAACCCTGATAAGAAAAGACACTTTAAACATACCCAGCAAAATGAGTACAGTACTATAAGCCTTTCCTCTTCACTCGGTAATCTCTATTCCTCCAATAACACCAAAAATGTTCCCTTAAAATCTTAAAATATTTAAACCCTCTCTCTTTTTACAGTCACAAAAAAGTCCTCCCATCTGGCTCTCTAATAATAAATGTCTTACATACTGTACAACTCAAAATTCCTTCTCCATTGTTATGAAGTTCTCAATCTACTCATATAAAAGCAGTTTATCACCTCCCTTCCACTCTAGTCATGTCTCACTACTCTACTACCATGCAGCACCCCTGTTAATAACCCCATCTATTGAATAATAATGAAGACAACACATCCCCCCTTTTCCATGTCTAAATTTTAAATCACTTATCTGCTTTCTCTGGCACATATCCTATTTCTTGAAAACCCTGACCTTCTTACAGCACAGGTGACCCCCGAGTTACGGTTGGGTTACATTATAAATATTAAATATATTGTTATGCGAATGATCGGATCTCAAAGACATTTTAACTTGGGTTCAATGGAGTTATGTTTTTAAGAGTGCAGAAAAGGCTTCTTTTTTTGTTCCTACATAGCCACAAGTACAATGGAATTGAAGGTGATAACCACTACAAGTCATTACAATTATCCTGAACATAATACACACACAGAGGGAAAAAGGAAATACAGTTGACACCTCGTTAATTTGGACTAATAGGGGGGAAGGGTGTCCGTTTTAGCCGATTGTCCGAATTAACCGATTTAGGGGTTAATATTGCATTATATTTCAAAGTCATTGTTTTCGTCACGATTTTATCCCACTTTCCACTGTAATATGTACGTCATTTCAGCAAAAATATTACATTTCCGTGAATGCATTATATCAAGCACAGTATGAATAGAATACCATTGTAATATAACAGTATTTTAACAAAAAACTATTAAAAAAAAGAGTAACTTCTCTTGAACATCGGAAGGTTAGGTAAAATCTTTTGTTTTCGTCATGTATTTTATCCTATTTTACATTAAAATACATCACGTTTCAGCAAAACTACTATTTATTTCCGAGAATATATTCATTCAGGCGCAGTTTAGTTAAAATATACGTGTGATGTAACAGTTTTTTGACTGAAAACGATTCGAAAAACACGTACCCTCTAGCCCTGTTCAAGTCAATTAAGATAGAATATTATTGTAATACAACAGTTTTTTAACTGAAAACCAATCGAAAAGAGATTACGGCAACATCTTTTGAACGAAAGAAAGCGAAAGTCATTGTTTTCATCACGATTTTATCCCACTTTCCACTGTAATATGTACGTCATTTCAGCAAAAATATTACATTTCCGTGAATGCATTATATCAAGCACAGTATGAATAGAATACCATTGTAATATAACAGTATTTTAGCCAAAAACTATTAAAAAAACGAGTAACTTCTCTCGAACATTGGAAGGTTAGGTAAAATCTTTTGTTTTCGTCATGTATTTTATCCTATTTTACATTAAAATACATCACGTTTCAGCAAAACTATTTATTTATTTCCGAGAATATATTCATTCAGGCACAGTTAAGGTAAAATATACATGTGATGTAACAGTTTTTTAACTGAAAACGATTCGAAAAACACGTGTACCGTCTAGATCAGCGCTTCTCAAACTATCTGATGTGGCGGACCGGCATGGTTTTTTTTCAATGTGCCACGGACCGGCGAGCGAAGCGAGCAAATCCCAGGGCCTATAGGCCCCCCCAAGGAAAATCTTTTGAGATATGTCCTATTTCAGGGGCATTTTGAGACTATCTGTACTAAACATGAAGACGTGATGTCTTATTCATTCTAAGGCCAATCATCATTGACGTAACAAGTCTTCCCAGTGTGCCAGGGACCAGTACCATATTTGTGCCATACAATTAATTGTTTACGATCAGAGAAAATATTATTTGAACATTCGTAGTACAGTGAGTTCTGCTATAACGCGTGTTTTGATAACGCGAATTTGCTCTAACGCGATTTATGAATTAGGACCGATATTTGTATAACGCGAACGCTTGTTTGCTAAAACGCGATTTTCTCTTACAATTTCTCCAATTTTGTGGTATTAACTGTGAATATAGTAAAGAAGAATATCAACAAGAAGCGTTCTGGTGATAGAATTCCCGGTGATGATCGTAAAAGAAAGGATATAACACTTGAAGAGAAGCTCGATTTTATCAACCTCAAAATCACCCTTCTCCCCCATCAAGTAAAGTGTTACATTTACTGTATGATTTCATTATTAGATATGAATGTAACATTTATTTAGACTGTGCTATCCTTTGTATATGGCTAACTACTAAATTTTTTCGATTTCGAGTAATCTGCACCTAACCCTATTTTCTCCATAAGCCCTGTTATTTCTATTACGCGATTTTCTATAACACGATATTTTACAAGAACACAATTATTGCGTTATAGCAGAACTACCTGTAATATTATTTTATACAGGAAAAATATAATGAATATAAATGTGGGTTGGGATGGAGTCCCAAATGACAAACACGCAGATACCCGTATGATGCTCTCTGTTCCACTTCTTGATGGTAACTAACCACTGACCTGTGACCTGACATCACAGACTGCTGATCCACACGTGTGGAATAGCAGGGTTGCCAGCTGTGTGACACCCTTCACGGCTGGCACGCATAGTAAAAAATCGGCCATTTCTTTTAATGGCATACATTTATTTTATCCGAAATTAAATAACTACCATACTTAAAATAAAAAGATTTATGTTTTGGGTGGATATGGCGTAACTGGTGGCCGAGAAACGTGACAATTCTGGCAACACAAGGTGATGCGCCCTATTGATATCCCCAGGTGTGGTTCCCACAGAGTCAAACGCCACATCATCATGAAGGTGTTGTTATACGTATTTCAGTTCGCTGTTTTGCTGTTCATTATATCGCATTCGTTAGTTGCATAGCAATGACTTTTAACATGAGTGAGTAAATGAAAAATATAGCCATAATAAATATAAAAACTACAATGAAAATGTAAAAAAAAAAAGACCGAGTCAGATGTCCCGACAGTGTCACGTGGTGTGAACGTGACTATCGTTTCTTTCTTTTCTGAAAACTCTCCGCGTACCGGCAGACGATGGCTCACGGACCGGCACCGGTCCGCGGACCACACTTTGAGTAGCACTGGTCTAGATGATACTCAACAGCTGGTGGTGGGTCATGCGTCGTTGTAAACAATAGGAGGTTGAAGTAGATTACCGGGTATTATATTAAGTGTGAAATATCGAAAAGGTTTTTATTACAGGTATTTTTTGTAGATCAATGAGAACTGTGATACCGTATATGACATGATAAATTAGCCTAAGCTAAGAACTTCAACGTAGACTACTGAAAACACGTTGTAAGGTAATTTAGCCTATTGTAAGTTGGTGAGCTTCATTTGCTGAAGGAACTGCACAACTTTTCATTACTAATTGGTACATACTTTACATTTCCAATGTTTACTGGCAGTAAATGGTAAATATTTTTCATGTCTGAAGCTAAAAGTTGCATCCCCCCCCCCACACTAGTGGTGGAGATGTTACATGTTTTATCCCAGCAGTGGGTGGACCAGCATTTTAGCTTAAGGTCTGCGTAGGTAATATTCCTACAAATCTTAAAAAAAAAAAAAATCCGATTTTGTCCGAATTATCCGAAATCTGGATTAAAGGGTCCGAATTAACGAGGGTCGACTGTATACTGAAAAAATAAAGACAGAAAAGTAGTGTAACAGCCAAACTCACCAATCCACGCCACGTCACTCATTGTTAACACTGGGCAGTTGTGATAATTCTCAGTTATTGTTAATAAAACAATCACTTTTTGGTATAATTGTGGAAGACTGACCACTTGACAAATATTTCACAACATTTCACACTCTCAAACTGGCATAAAACAGGGCAATTTTAATGTGGACAAGGAATAGAACTGCATGGAGCTGCACATCAATCGCTTTGAGGCAGGTGAAAAGAAAGTTGTGCATAGTAGCACAGCCAGGACACGGTTGATTGCTTGTAGTGAACGTTAAACCGGGAGTGACCGGCTGAAACTCGGGGGTGGGGTATACGTATGACTACATCATTTAAGAAAACGGCCGTAACTCGAGGGTAACCAGTAGCACTTCACTACACCTTATACTCTGAATGTACAGCACAGAACATTTCAATCAAATTTATATCATACTTATATCAAGTGAATGACTGTTGCCTTGGTACAATCTGTTTGCATTCCTTACTTATTGCTCTTAATACAGTAGATTCTCTACTATCCGCGGAGGTTGGGGACAGACCTCCCGCGGATAGTCGACTTTGGTGGATAGTTGACGCTGTGTAGCGGTCAACTAGAAAGACAAGAAAACATAAATTAAAAATTTTGTTACTACATGAAAGTTAGAACAAGAACTAAGTAACATGACAGCTGTCCGTATAATGTGTACTGTACTGGGGTACATTTACATTTGTTGTGGTGTAAAAATCTTTTACCAAATCATAATGAAATTGATTTAAACAAAAGAAAACCATAAAATATCACAAAAGAAGTCATTTCATCCCTCAAATTTCATTACAAGCTTCGAGATTAATGTATAAACACTATAAAATATTGTTACTGTATAAACGTTTCCTATAATAATATTATCTACCTCTCTAACTATCAAATAGAATGATTAATTCATCGACCCTGAAGGGGGAAGAGGAGTAACTAGTCACTTAAGTCAGAGAAGTGAATGACTGCATCAAATATTTTTCAATCATGCATGACAAAGCTGCACTATATATAATTATATACTGTAATGTATTAAAATCCTTCACCCAGTTGTTACATATTTGGTTTTCAAATGAAATTTAAACCCTAATTTTGTTTTAATTTAAGTATTTTCATCTCTAAGAATCCAACATTAAGTATACCTGTACATACAGTCATTTATCATTGGTATCAAATTTTTTAATTTTAACATTTAAAGATTTTAGCTTTTAATTCAATGTACAGTACAGTATTTGGTACTTGCCTTAATGATGCCATTTTTTGTGAAGTTCATTGAATGTCAAAATATTATTTTTTTTAGAAAGTTTACTGTACTTACAGGGTACTGCATGATACTAAATCCAAATTACTATACTGATCACATGTTTCCCCTTAACTATGTTAAGTTCATTATAACTAAGTACAAGTACCATAATTCTCTCTGTTAGCCGGATTTTGTTTTTCTTTTTTAGCAATCCAAGAAATTCCGGGCAAGGTAATGAATTTCTCAGGATTGCATAATGTTTCTGATGTGGGGACACATGCTGGGCACGTGGGTGGGGTAGACCCACAGTGAGCGCGAGCTACAATTAGCCACTACTGTCATGTGACTGCATGGATGACTATGATCAGCTGATATATCTCACAGTATCGCCTCAAACTCTTGCTTCATGACACTCTTAGTTCATTGTCTGATGTCATTGTACAAGCTTGTTCGCTCATTCACTGCTGTTTTCACATACAATCTGTGTTGTGCAGTATTCTACATTACTGTACCATGATATAATCAGCCAAGAATACTGTTAAAGCAGTGTTAAGACAGAAAGTGATAACAATTATGTATACAGTCAACCCTCGCTTTACGCGGTCCCACTTTACGCATTTCCACGTTTACGCGGTCCCACTTTACGCATTTCCACGTTTACGCGGTCCCACTTTACGCGTTTCCACGTTTACGCGGTACCCTGCCGAAACCGGAATGCTCACTTTCCGCGGTGTGTGTACCCTTTTACACGGAGAGCAGCGCGAGCAGGGTGCGCACAAGGTCGCCCAGTCATCAAAACATTACCGAGTTCTTCACCCGCCACCCACCACAGCTGGCCCAAGTCAGTGATAGTGATAATGATAGTGAGGATATGGACTTGTATGGACTTTGAGGAGTTTGACAAAGAGGCCCTGCAAGCCTGTGGTGGATAGTGATACAATTGATACAAGTGATACAGGTGAGGGCCAATAATAATCTGCCCTCTGCCTCGGAACCAACCCCCCATCCCCGTGTGCCCAGCCATCTTTTCTACTAATGTAAGTGTTAAAAAACCTAATATTATTGATATTTCTCTTAATTATCAATTGTGTGTGCATACCATCATAAAATTAAGAAGTTATTTTTACTACAACATAGGTATTGTGTCTGAAAAAGTGGAGTTTGGGGGTCGGCCTGGTCTCTATTTCAATTAATCCCATATGTTATGTTGTTCACTTTACGCGGGCCGCCGTGGGTTCAATTGACCGCGTAAAGTGAGGGTTCACTGTACTGTACATTCAATAAGTGTGAAAGTACCATACATAGGGTACTGTACATAGCAGAGTGGACAGTGTATGCTAGTGTGTAGAGAGTGTATGTACAGTATATAGTGCATGTACAATCACTTCTTCATGGAGGGAGACGAGAGTGACAGCAACATATGCTACTGTAGATGGTACAGAACAACGGTAAGTCATCCTGTATCATCACATCACCATTTGGCCTGCCTGCATCACAAGCTCAAGATGACAGCATCTACTGGTGAGTACAGTACTATATAGTGTATACAGTAGTACATTTTGTTTAATTTACAATATATTGTACATATTCACCCACTAAATAATTATTCGGCACCTTTACGGCGTGATACAATATGACACGGGTACCAAATAATTTTTTAGTGGGTGTACAATGGTACCCATAAAAATTCCGGGGATGAGAAAATTTGTCTCCATACCCGAAAATCTCTCAATCCGGGAACCGCTCTGCACCAATTATTCCGGCTAACAGGGATATCACTGTAAATCATCTCTGCTATTAACTGATACCAAATGAATCACTAACTTGCTCCATTTCCCATTCAGATGATCTTTCAGTCACTCTTCAAAATAAAGGGTCTCTAAGCCAGTGAATGATGCATCATTCCTTTTTTGCTTATGATCAATTTAACCCTATTTCTACAGCACTCAATACATCTACCCAGGGCCTCATAGTTTTAACAACCTCAAACAGTATTGGGATGACTTAAACTCACTGACAGTTGATGTTTGGAGCTAAACAACCTCAGATAGTAGAGAGACTACTGTAGTCAAGATCCAGCATAATATCAACTCTTCTACAACTTGTATCTCATTTATCGAGCCATTTAATGCTCTTCTTTTTAGTTTCTAGTACAACAACCACTACATTTATCTGGTTTACCTACACATTATGATCTTATAATTGCTTTCATTCTGAACTTGTTTGTCTTTGAGTTACTGCACCTAGCAAGTCCCTAGTACACTACCCCCATTCCATACCCTTACATATACTGTACTGTATGAAAGGAAAAGGGTGTGCGGTAAAGATTGACGGGTCAGGCGGTACATCCAACTGGTCAAGAAAAGGAAACCCTATGAATTTCTTTCTTAATTCAAGGTCATAACCCTGGATAGTGGACCCCATATAAAAATCAGTTTATCAAAAGTAAAGTTCATTCACATTTTCCTATGAATAACGTTCTCTTTCAAAACTTTAAAAGGCCTTGTCAATTGAAAATAAAGATAATACACAAAAAAGCAAAGATGAGAAATGATAATCATATCCATACTATAATATGACAAAAATTTTGACGTTGTGAAGATACTAACTAAAACACAAGAAATGAAAGAAATTACTAAATTATAATATGACCACACATTTAGAGTTGATGCACATAAACCAAAGTTAAGATGAAAATTTTTAGATTTTACTAAACTATAATATGACTACGATTCTATAATTAAGACAAAAAGAAACACACATTGCAATACTATACTACGACCACAAATCTATAATTAATACACAGAAACCAAAAGAATAGAAATGACAGACATTTTTGTACCATACTAAATTACGACCATACTAGTTAATGCACAGAAACTAAAGTTAAAACAAGAAATGAAATACTGCCATATTGGAACATCATCACAAAGTTAGAAAAAGTACATAGAAAAGTGGGGAATATTGTAATGGTTTATCATATACAGTATTTCTTAATTTCCAAACAATGAAATGTAGGAAGTAACATGAATGACTAATCCCATGTGCATGGATGATAACTCCAGTTATTAATACCTCAATTCTTTCTAAATTTTCTTTGAAATTTTTGGAAGGAAAGAAAGAAAAAGGACAAAATCTTATGAGAACACAACTTACGAGGAGCACCATCAATGTCATCTTCATCATCATCATCATCATATCCTAGGAGGGCAGAAATAGCAGCACTCTTTATTAAGGGTGAATTGGAAATTGGTACACCATCTATGTCTTCCTTCTCTTCATCTTTGATGGGTATACCATCAACGTCATCTATAGGGATGCCGTCCACATCATCTACTTGGATCTGCACTGCTTCAACAACAGCATGCATCATCTCTTCTTCCAATTCCATCTTAGGTTCCTGAATGAACATAACAATTTAAAATGCATAATTTCTTTCACATCTTTTACAGTGACAGCAGCTCACTTAATCAGTGATGGAGGAAAATGTACTTATCTGCAGGCACAGTATATGAGTGGGACTCATAAACCTACAGTACTCTGCTTTCATTTATGTTAGATTTTCGACAGGAGCAATTATCAACACATAGTACATGTTATCAGGAAGTTAGGGAAGATTTGGCACATTGGTGTGAATATGGGAAATGTATCACTGCCAAAACATTATGCCAGCTTTGTACAAAATTGCCATAAAACATCATTTGCTTGCAGCTTCTACTGCTAAGAATTGATAAAGAAATATTCAAAATTATAAATGAAAATGAAACACATCTACAGTATGTCAAAGTCTTGCGCTGGATCAATCTCTCACTGTTTCATCTACAATTTTCATGATTCAAGCATCAAAAGATATAAATTCAATACCTAAATTCTAAGTGCTTTCTGAATACCTATGCATATTGGTTTGACTCTTACATACACGAAGAAACTTAAAAGTAATTATATTATGCACTACTTTACAGAAATTGCTCTACAATCAATAATATAATGAAAACAAATAGGGCTGCCACAACAACTACATACAAAGGCAAAGTGGGTAAGGAAAATAAACTATAGAAAAAAGTAAGACAGATAGTTAGGAAGAACAGTAAACCTTTTCAGGATTCAGTGAATGTATAACAATACTGTAAGTAAAAAATATTAACTTACAGTGAGAACTATGGTTGAACAAATGTTTGGGTGTTAATTGTGTTTCTGGAGTATAATTGTAGCTGAAGAGGCAGGATGACAATGTTATTGCACACATTTTTTTAAAATGTCTCCAGTTCTATTTTAGAATTCCCTTCCTCATCACACACAAACTTGAATATCATGAGTCCTATCACACAAGCTTTTGAAATATAATTTGTTCTGCTACCAGAAACATAAAAAAATAAAAAAATAAAAAAATAAATAAATAAATAAATAAAATTGGAAATTGGTTTCCTAAAAACTGCCCAAATAGTTCTAAGTCAAATGCATGACATAAGACCATCATAATGATTGCAGCGTATACACTTAACTGTTCTTTGATCAGAAGAACTAACAATGAATATGGTGGAGTAACATCAAAAAGAATGTTTACAGGGATTCTTGACAGTAAGGTGGAAGGAAATCATGAGAGAAAATATAAGTGGGAGAGGGGAAGGGTGTCACTATAAAGGTGTGTACAGAAATGTTTGGTGACCAACAGACAATGGTTCTTTAGGATAGGTTATGTATGTGTTGACCAACTATACAGCATTAAATGGCTATTAATAAAATGCTTAGTAACCAAATCATACCATATTGACAACTAACAATATAATATAATCAGACAACAGAAATTTAAATGTAAGAATTTCCAGCCTTTGTTACCAGTGCTTGGTTTATCAGTCAACCAAATCTTATCCAACTCGTTCAATATATAAACACATGCTACGTGTGAAAACTATAAAAGCATTGAAGAATTATTCCTAGGAGATTGATACTAAAGCTCCAAAGCTTGGAGAAAACTAATGTTTCAAAGGATTACACCAGTACCTCAACATATTCAAGTTCAACTCTCGTGAATTCAATTATCAGCAAAACAACCTCAGAGGTTTTTATTTATTAAAATAACATAAAAAGGTAAGGTGCTTATTTTAAAAACCATGGGCGTCCGCCATGATGTAAAGTCATGGCGCCATGCTGCATTCCGTGTGGCTGTTCTCTCCCGCCAGTCTCACCTGAGAGTTCTCCCACATCACCCGCCAGTCTCGTATGAGAGCAATTCCAATGTTAATTATAACTGTTATGGCTCCCAAAAGGCCAATAACTGATGGTAGGGTATCTGGTGCAAAGAGAGTGAAACTAGTCATGATTCTGGCACAGAAAATTGAAATGTGTCAGCGGTTGGCCGTGCATTTGAAGTTAATGAGTTAACTGTTCAGTGCATAAAGATGAAAGGCAAGGCAATTAGTAGTAGTGTTGCTAATAATGCACCACACAGTGCTAAAGTTACATCGGATATGTGATGAAGGTATGGAGAAGATGGAGAAGGCATTAAGTATGCATCAAGGACATGAGTCAGGAGTGTCAAAAATTTAACAATATGATGTACGACTATAACCCATCAATGGAATTAAGCATCAAAATGAAGCAGAATACCGAGAATGATTTACAATCTTACCAAGAAACTTTAAACAACTTAAAAGAAAGCCAAACAATTACCAATAACAATGTTTTTAATGCCGAGATTCAACCCCCCCCTCCACTACCGTCTCTTTCCTCAACAACCAGCCCGGCGTCATCTGCATCAGCCCTCCCACACCCCCCAGCCAGCCTCTCCTTCACTCCACCGATACGGCTTTCTCACCTGCCAGCCCTTCATCGGACATTCTGGATGATCCCAGTCCAGAGGTCTTAAAGGAGCAGTAATGTCTTCAGTTTCATTACTGAGACCTCTACAGCAGCTCATTATGAGGTAAGAAAAGTACACTTTATATACACAAGTAACACTGCGAATTATTTTGCTCCCATAATGTTGATATTACACTTATAACTGGAATAAATTGTATATTCTTCCCAGTCATAAGCTTGTTACAGGAAAACATAATATTCAACATGTATGTATGTTTCATTCACAGCATTGCGTGACAGGCCTGAGTTTGTGTGTGTGTGTTGATGGCGTAGTGATGGTGGTACAGTATGGGCCGTGTGAAGCAGGCTGCAGACGATGCGGCGCTGCTACTCCAATTCAGTGACTTCCCTAACATCACACCACATTTACTTGCTTCTTATTTACAGTATTTTTTGTTAACACTATATAAAGCAACTGTACATGCCTGTTTAGTATATAGAGGGCTAAAATAAAGTATTTTTCCCCTAATTTATAGTTCACTATAATATTAAAGATAGGGTATTAAAGAATGTCATTCGCGAAATTCTACATTCACGGGTGTCCCAGGAACCTGTCCCTCACGAATGTTGAGGTACTTGTGTAATTCCTTACCAGAAAAACCTAAATTATGGCTAGAAGCTTGTAGAAAATATGCAGGTGATGAATCATGGTCAAGTACCCAGTCTCAAAGAATACAAATAGACTAGCTGATACATGTAAGTAAAATTATTCACCAAAACTACCAACAGAAGAACCTAGGAAGATAGAAACTTTTTATCCTTACTCTTTTCACAAGGCCTAAGAACAGGTTTTGAAGATGGATTAGGAACTCATGAGGATAAATGGCCCAGTCTTCCCAGGCCCGGCAACACTGCATTATACGTTGCTTCACTTGCTCTGCTCGAAGCCGTGACTCCACTAGATTATATGCTATGTGGAGGCCTTCAAATATTTCTGCTAGTTTGGCCTGAAATCTGTACACAGAATAAAATTACAATACAATCAGATAACTACTTATGTACAGAAAAGTACAAACACTAGAAAAAAAAGAAAAAATCATACAGCAGTCAAATGTCAGAGATGAGTGTTCCAAAAGACAGACTGCAGCTACTGTCTCTACAACCCAATTGCCTAGATATATTACACTGTACTATAAACATTCATGACATACACAGTACTTAAAACTTGGATAAGTGTATGCAGAATATTGCATAAACAGTATGAATATGTTAACAGTTTCAGATACGCATGAATATATATGAATTGTGGTAGTTATCAAAAGTATATGCATCAATGGGGAGACAACTCAAATATTTAAGGTGGAAAAGGACTAATATAATATAAGAACAAATAGAGGGATGAGTAAAATAGTCTTGGGTGGAGGTGGGTAGGAGCATGGTTGTTTCCCCATGGATGTTTTAATATTGTTAAGGTTAGATCTGTAAAAAGACTATGATAAGTAATGTAAGTATAGAAATGTGATTAAAGGCAATGGGACAGATGAGAAGTGGGTGTGGATGAAACCATACACAATGAAGTATGATAGCCAAGAGGAAGAAGCCAAAAAAATTTACACTACCAAGAACAAGTGAGGTAATGCTGAAAAATTTGAGGAGTGGAAGGAAAATTAAATGTCTGAAAGGGGATACTAGTACTAGTATTTCAAAAAATAATTAAGAATTTTAGTGAGGATGGAAGAATGGATGCCAAGATGTCTAATAGAGTAGTAACAAAATGTAAGCTAGTTGTTGTGGCTTGATAAGTTATAAAAGGGGAATGAGGTCTCCTACAACTTCACTGGAACAATTTAACGTACAGGTACTGTCTAATTTATCACAAATAACGACTATAACAATGGTACCAGGCTGTCTAATTTGACATCTAACAAGGGTATGTAAGTAATGCAATTCCTTTCATATACTGTACTACAATATATCAAAAAGTGGGCAAACTCCAAATATGACCTACAAAGAACCACTAATATCAAACTCTGTTTATATTTCATATGACATACACAACAAATTGAAAGAATTATCTCTAACTAGTGTCACATTATCACATATGATTCACTTGTGATTATTATGAGCACCTGAGTCACTTGGCATTGTCTTAAGCACCTGTGAGACACTTGGTATTATTATAAGCACCTGTGAGTCACTTGGCATCATTACAGGAGCCAGTGACTCACTAGGGTAAAATTATGTGCGCCTGTAAATCATGTGGCATCATTATGAACACTTAATCCTGAAGCTAAAAAGAAAAATTGTGCCAACTCATATCTACAATTTACAGTACAGTACTTATTTTTTATAATGCTCACTTTATAAAATAATCACATATTCATTAAAAATATGAACACACACTTCAGACTTAACAGAAAGATGCAGATTCAGTTAGCATCTTACAACCACAGCTCAATGCTGCCATACACGAGGGGGAAAAATATCATTGGGGAGAGGGAGGGAATAAGGAGAAATCAGAACAGAAGTCTATGTAGAAATCAGAACAGAGTTCTATGTAAATAAACACAGAAAGGACCACTGACATTCTGGGATTTTATGACTACTTTAAATTACATAAAGGCTAAACCAATATTTTGCTTAAAGAAAGTTTTTCATTAACTTACCCTTTTCTATAGAATGAGGCATTTGAAACTTTTACACTGCAATTATGTAGAATATCTGAGACGAGGTATAATCTTGAAATCTGAAAGCACAAGGTATAAAATCTAATTAGTTATAGTGATTTCAGCAGCACACTACTTGTAAATCTCAATACTAGTGAATGAAAACAATGTCAGTATGTAGTACATATGCTGATCCCCAAGGAGAAATGAAGGACTTCATTCTCCCATGGCCAGTTCTATTCATTTGAGCAATAGTTACCTTTTTAGGCATAGCTGTGCTGTTGCTTGTGAGAGCCTCTGTAAGGCACTGACAGATCTCTTCAGCTGCATCTGCATGTTCAATACACCAAACCATTGCTTCTCCCACCTTCTCTCTCTCCGGTGTCATAGTACGTATCATAGATTCAAGTCGGCCCCTTTGTCTGAAGAAAGAAGAAGAAAATATCTGGGTATAAATGCCCAAAAAGATTTTTCCCAGTTCCCATCTCCAAACTCAAACTATGAAAGTGATGTTACTTTTCATGCTGCAGGTCTGACTTTTGATATTTGTCTTATGATGATAAGACTATTTATAAATCTTGCATTTTCTTGCCAAAGAGACTGCAACCTGGCTCAAATAGAGAAATGAGAAAAGTTGACCTTGGACCAAAATCTCAGCATTCATTTTCAAATTAAAGAAGGTGGTTCTGGGGAAAAAAAGAAGGGGAAGTGGGTAAGGTGGCATTTTTCACCAATACAATTCAAAAGTTGGACAAAGAAAAAAAAATTAACATTAAAATAAAATGTTCTCCTACCTCCTTGGGGGCAATAAAAATCTAAACACACAAATCAACCAAAAAAGAGCATTACTCACGCATTAGACAAAGAACCTTTCTTGTTTTTGTCTTCCTCCTCCTCCTCCATCTTTATGAGCTCTTCTGGCATTCCTTGCAAAAATGGGTTGAGTGGGGGTGGCTTCCATATTGAACCATCTGTCCAGAATAACCATATCAATATTCAATGAGGTACTGTACAAGTCTCTTAAAGTACAACGCAATTCCCTTGCCTGCCATTTTTAATATTAGTGATCACTGGAGTATGGTTTATCACTGGAATGATACAGTCACTGATTGGCAACTGACACTTCCAAAACAATTTGGGTGTCAGGAAGGCTCGACTATTTTTCTATAATTTAGTCCCAGTCAAACAAATCAGACAGGGAACCCTGGTTGTCAAATTACATGTGTTATGTTGTTGACTGCACATACCTTTAAGTCTCTTGAGCCAGTGGATAAGGTATTAAGTGCTGACATTGTGTCAAGGCCAATCAATTATGAAAATTTTGTACCATAAGATTACAATTGTGAATGCTAGTATGTGGTATTTTCTGTTGACCTGACTTAGGTGGTCACAGGATTAGACGCTTTTTTGGAGAAAGGTAATTCCTTTCACTTATGAAAATTCTGCAGCAATCCTGGTATGGGATGACTTTCACTGACAATCTGACCTGACTTCTGTCCATGGTTGATCAGCCTCAATTTCAACTATGAATTAGAAAAAATTATGTGGTCCAGGTATGTGACTTTTTAGTAATCTTTAACCTATTTAGACCAAAACTGATCAGTAATAATGGACTACTAAGGCCAGAGAGCTGTGAAATTTTCATGGTCGGATAAAAATTATGGATGCCGAAATTCAAACAGACATCTAACCATGAGGTAATGAAAGAACAGCAAAGAAATCGTATCCCCTGTAACCTTGATGGCATGGACAAAACTAGCTTTACATATCCACTCTCTTACTGTATGTATTTCATACACTACTACTGAAGTGCAATGAATGTGGCTCCCTCCCTTACTGTGTAGCTTAGCCTGTATATGGACACCAAGAAAAGCATTAAAACCCAAAATGAACCAATAAAAAATATCCTCAACACACACAACTACCTTACTGAATAAAAAAAAAAAAAATCAACTTAACTAGTATTACAGTATACTGTATACCATATATTATGGCAGATTAGGCGACCTTCAGATAAGACGAGGACCAAATTTCACTCAAATTTCATGGTTTTAGCTCGTATCTGTGGTATAAGATGACTCCCCAAACTACCAAAGCACCTTTTTTTTTTTTTTACAGGAATTAGCCCACCTGGGCACAGGTCAAACGACCCACAACGGAGCCTGGGGGGGCGAAAAAAAGAACGGAAAAAAATTGAAAATATAGAAAAAAAGGTTATACTGTATTAATCTACACCACTACACCACGAAGATGCCGGAAAACCAGCTTTTTAAAGTGAGACAGATTGTAAGAGCATGGAAACACAGAAGAAGGCAAAGCATTCCACAGTTTGGCTGTGTGAGGAAAGAAGGAGGTACTATAACGGGTTATTCTCGTGAGACCGACATCCACAGAGAAATGGTGGGCACCGCGGGCAAGACGTGTGTTACGATCCCACGGCCTTACCGGCGGTACACAGGATGCCAAATCCCCTGAACATTGCCTGTTAAAGTACCTGTAAAAGAGAGAGAGTGAAGCAACATTGCGGCGAAGAGAAAGGGGAGAGAGATTGTCGACTAAAGGAGGAGAGTTAATAAGACGAAATGCCTTTGATTCCACCCTATCTAATAGTTGGACAGAAGAAGAGCCACCCCAGATATGAGAGCAGTACTCCAAGTAGTAAATTTAGGTGAAAGACCACCAAACCACAATACGGTGATATGTTTAATGTATTAAACACTTTGAATGTTTAGTGTATTACCCGTACCAGTAAATCATTTGAACTATGTTATCAGAGAGGCATATAATAAGGTAAATACCATGTGTAAGACTGTCTTCGCTAGTGGTACGTTAAGGTCGATGACCGTATTGTTTACATACCTACGTATCATGGAGACGCAGTCAACCTTGAGTAAGCTGGTGTGATTTAGTGATCAAAGCATGGGATAAAGTGATAGAGACTGTAATAAAATCTTTCAAAAAGTGCAATATTTCTAATGCAATAGATGGTACAAAGGATGATTTGTTGTGGGACACTGACGACGAAGCCAAAGCCGACGCATCAGATTTGGACTGGGACCCATATGATGACAACCAGGGGAGGATTGCTAGCGGGGCTGTAGCCCCAAGCCCACTAGAAAATAGACCCACAAAATTTTTTACAAAAATATAAACCATTTCTCTAGTAGGTTTCTTAGACTAGCACAAAATACGCAGTCCGGTCACCACAGGTGATAAAAAATCCTGGCGGGTGAGTTGAAATATTAGAGAGCTTTTCCGGCTGGCAATCATTTTTTTAGATCTCATGACTGTTTATATTCTGGGCCGCTGATGTTAAAATTTACCGACTTGGGCAAGACAGTATTCCTGCCTTGGGATTGGCAAATAGGAGAAGACTTCTCGAGCTGTGATTGGCTCTGGATGACATAAGTCTGATGCTATTGGCCAAAGTATGAAGGTTTGGAGCTTCTCAGTCGTGGGAGACGGGAGTTTGTTGACGGTCTTTCAGCTGAGAGTGAGTGTCTGATTTTCGAATGATAAAATACTTATAAAATAGAAGGTTATAACTGATGACACTTGCTAATGATAGTGTATATGTATTGAAGAGATTGTAATAGACATGAATGCTAAAAATCAATTACTGCCATAATTATATACACATACATACATAAAATATACTTACATGCATATACAGTACAGTACAGTGGTCCCTCGGTTAACGAGATTTCGGTTAACGAGTTACCTTCCATAAGATTCTTAACTTCGGTTAACGAGCAATCCCTCGATTAACGAGTTTCTTACGAGCCGACCTCCACATGTTTTAGCTTGCTTTTGGCAGTCCACCAGCTGTAGTATTAGTCCGCCAATACAGTAATCGGTTCTAGGGCTTAAATTCCTTACCCTTTTAGTAAATATCAAGAAGTTTATACTATTCAATAATTTTAAAAGTTTAATATTAAATTTTTTAGTCATTTTAACAATTATTGAACACAATTGAAGGTAAGGTCACTAGTTTGTGGCACGCCATCCAGCCTGCCAACACAGCCTACAGGCGTCAGTCTTTGTGTCTTTTCAGTGGAGGTAACATCTTGCTTGAGACTCTCTTCAACTAAATGCTTTTTTCTGTGTTTACAAGCAAATTATTGGTCATTTTGAAATTTATTTTACATATTGACAATATATAATGCAGTGCAGTGTTGATTTAAAGAAAATAATCTTGAATTACACGAAGAGAACTAAAATTTTATGGGTGAAATGGCGCCATGGGGTGATTTCTCTTCCACCCCAATGCCTTCTCTTCTCCCTTCTCCTCCACCCCATTCTAATTCCCATCATCATCATCCAGGAGCCTTCTACATACACACCTTTTTTGTTGAATTTAGGCAATTTTCGGTGAGCTGGAACCAATTACCCAAAAACCCATTGAAACAATGGTTTCGGTTAACGAGCAACCTTCTAGAACGGATTGTGCTCGTTAACCGAGGGACCACTGTACTGTAATCATAAATACATATAATATACATTCATGCATGCATACATACATACATACATACATATTAGCCTATATACTCCAGCCTATACAAATAGCCCGAGATAGGTCCTCTGAACTTAATTAGCCACAGCCCCACAAAACCCTTAATACGACCCTGATGACAATGTAAATAATAAGACTCGGATGTGTACGACGAGCTCTTATGCTGGATTATAAATGTTTGGTTTTTTTTTACTATACAATGCTTTCAATGGTATATTGATTTTAGTGATTTTTTTTTAAACATCACAACAGCTGTTTCAAGATTGACGACCCTAGCTCCCTTCGCTGTACGGATTTTGAGGTAACTTTTTGTATTTTTTAAATTGTATCTGGCCTATAAGACAACCCCTGTTTTTGGGGTGGTTTTTTGATGCTTCAAGTGTCGTCCTATCTGCCAAAATATACAGTATACACTTAGTAAGGAAACTTGTGTACATGTTAGCCTCACACTCACTTTTAAACATTCTAAAAGGTCTGGTGGACCATCTGTTAGGGGAATCCCCCTGCAACATGGAAAACAGTTTCCACCGGTAGTAAACGTGAGCAGGACCTTGATTCTCGAACAGGAATCTAGTAATGGCAAAATAATATCATATTTTAATACTATTTTCAACACATGGGCAAGATTGATAATATTTTTTTACTAGAAAATAAATCAATCATGTTTTCAAAAAGTGAATCCTCCATTTTTTTTTAACATAATGGTTCTTTTACACATTCAAATTTAAGTTGTTTCAATATTTTCATATAATTTGCCTCACCCAATACAAGACATTGAACTATTGCCCATAATCCCACCTGAATTCTGGATTATTAATTTCCCTGTTCATTATCATGGCCTCAAACATTGGTCCCTCACGTATAATAAACTCTATGGTGCGGTGAATAAGTTGTAGTAACGATCTGTTGGAATATAAGGAGTTACATGTAAAGAAAAAGATTCATACACTAAAATGATCAGATATATTCAACAAAAGGTTCTGATGAATTATACTTTTTACCCAGAGTGGACACATGAAAAAAGTGCTGTGCAGTTAAAAATAAACCACAAAAATTAAGAAAAAGTCAAATATATATATATATATATATATATATATATATATATATATATATATATATATATATATATATATATATATATATATATATATATATATATATATATATATATATATATATATATATATAAACTGTAAATAAAAACTCCTGTCCACTATGCGTAGTAAAGTAATTCAAATGATAACAAAAAATATTAATACAAAAGATGTAACTCTTCATCAGTTGGCTGAAATAGAAGTGTTACAAAATACAAAATGGATATCAGTGCCATTATGGGTGTTAAACTGTGCACTGTACACCCCTAATATACTACAGTACTGTATTAACTTATAGGGCTAATTACAGCCTAGATTATATTCTGTGATGATACTACAGTGCATGTGGCTACTGTAATATGATTAAAAGCTATTGTATAAATTACTCAAGTACAATTCAATAGTCAATCCTTAAAAGGGTAGGTTCATATGATTACACCAGAATAAAAACTTGGTAATGCATTTAACTATACCAACATGCAAAAGAAAATCAATAGAATAGCATATTAACAAACCAAAGCTTAAGTGTCTCATTAAATGTACAAGGGATCAAACACACTAAAATTGCAGCCAACTCTTATTATAATCTTTTTTTAAATGACTAAGAGAAAATAATATTTTAATCACTATTGAAATAAACGAATAATTTTAATAACTATTTAAATAGAAATTAAATTCTTAACAAGTACTTAATTAATCATCAGAGAGTCTACTGCATGTTTTATTACTTAATAAATGATAAATCCTGAAACCAATGCTCAACCTAAGATCCTCAAACCCAAGTCCGTCCACTTAAGAACCTAAGATTGTCTAAAATCTTGATCATTCTGGAACTCAAATCAGAGAAAAACGCAAGAGTTACCTGTTAGCTGGTACGGAAGAACATGGTATTCTTCATGGCACAAATAGTGACTGGAAAGTTGGTATTTAATCTTCTGAGTTCTTATGTTTCACATTAGACAGGTAATTGCTGAGTGCTATTGTCACATTTGAACTAGAATATCCTTCTTTGTACCTATAACTGTTGCTAAGAGGGGCCCAGACAAATACAGGCCCTGAGATAGATGACCCATGAAATATGTCCACAAGTTCACTAGGGAAGTCACTGCATCAATTTGCACTGGCTGGGAGTCTTTGGGAGTCCCCACTGGGAGAGAAAGGCCAACTCAGGTCAACTCCTGCTGACCCGGAAGTAGCTCTCACCCACCACGGTAGATGACTCGTTGAAGCTGTGGGATAGACTTATGGGTGACCCTGACAACCCCTCCCAATATTATGATGTCTCTTCCAAGCTGTAAAAAAGGTATATGCTGGCCTAAGTGCAGCATATATGTGGTAAATGATCTGGCGTCTGCTGCTGCTTCTGGTGCTACTCGTACAATCCCTGCCACACACACACACGGTCTCAACTCCAGAACATCAATGTGGACATCAGGAGGAACAGATGGCTGTATGGGATAGACTGTGTGGTAAACCACATTATCCTAACTTCTTGGTTCATTTCCCTGCAAAATCGTCGTTATTTAAAATTTCCCGTACATCCAAACGGATCTACAAGAATTCTTTTCGTCCGATAAAAAAAATAATTAGCACAATTTCATGGAACGTGGCCATGAACATCCACAACTTAGCTTCTATCCACAGCTGGAGTCTGCTGTCATCCTCAAAGCTGCAAGCCATCTTGATTTACGGTTTCTGCAAAATGGATCTTCCCAGGTACAAAAAATAAAAAAAATAAAATATAAACAAAAACATTAAAAAACAGCCCTCAGTCCAATTAGTCTAGTTTAATTACCCTGCCAGTTGCTTACCAAAACCTTACCTTGGGTCAAGGGTCACCTTATCCCAGGTTCCACTTGTAGTACAAGGAAAGAAAAACTGTTGCTCAAAGTTAAGATATCATGTTCCGTGTAGGATCATTAAGCTATATTCCCTGAGTATTATGACAACTGGCAGGGTGTATTGGAACAGACTTACCAGTGGGCAGGGAAGCCGGTTGGGTTGGTAAACAAACTAAGACGAGTTCTCTCTTTACCTTTCTGTTGGGATAACCACTTTGACAACAGCCCTTTGTAAAATCTGTAGGAATAGAGCAGCAACAAAGATAACAGATGGATTGGTCTTAGATTACATATATCAAATATTCTTTTTTCCCCCTTTCTCATAAAAAAAAGTTAATTGCAAGCAGATTATGTTACTTATGATAATAGACAATAAGAAACACAGGGCTGTTAGTAAAATGTTTATGGTGAATTTAAAATCCCGAACGAAATATTTACAGTAGAAAATCTAACAACAATATTTTTTATGCCTCTGATTGAAAGAGTACAATGATATGAGGCCTGTCAATGTCTACTCTACCACCTTAACATGACTGCTGTATAAAACATCAATAAGAAGACCATTAATTATCATAACTTAAACACTAAAACTTTGTATAGCTTCAAAAGGACTTTAATTAACCAAGACAATTATCCTGAAAAATAAGCAATATCTGCTCAGTAAAAAAAAAAAGAGTAGAATGGGATGCCTATTTAATGGTTTCTAAATTTTCAAATCTTTAGCCAGTACTGTTCACTAAAATGTAAAAAAAAAAAAAAATATATATATATATATATATATATATATATATATATATATATATATATATATATATATATATATATATATATATATATATATATATATATATATATATATATGAATGATTTTTTTTCTGCAATTTGATTGCCCGTTAAATTCTACAAAATTACCCCATGACAAGTTAGGGCATGCAAAGTTGTCTGCTAATACCTTGTCCATTTCCTCTTTCTTTTCTCCCTCTGTAGGAAGTGGGGCGCCTACTGGTGGGACCTACACGAAAGGAAACAAAATGAAACATTCAGTATGAGTGTATATTTTTATGTCTTAATGTAGTAAAATCAATACAATAATTAAAGACATGGCAAAGTATTTACCAGCTCAAAGTCAACATGGATTAATTTCATCACATGCTACTGTAATAAATGCCAATATGTGCCTTACAGTAACATACACTAATGCCATCCTTTGTGACATGCAGTAACTGTTACCCTAAAATCAAAACAGCCAAACCAGCAGATGTGTAAGAGATATAATCACAAATAATATTGATGATGTCCAAATTGCAATAGACAGTTTTCAGTATAACAAGGTATTTCTAACTCTTAATCCTCTAGAAAACTTGAGTGTAAAACCGTCAATTCTGAATATTCTATGCATGTTGTCTACTGTGGTAAAGAAGGTGTAAATGAGCTGCAGAGAACATCTTTAATTATTTCAGAATCTCTGCACATACTCTGGCCAAAGAGACATGGAAATGGAACAGGCAGGGCAGAGGATGCTTCCCACTGAATATATATAAGCTAGAATAGGGTGTAAAAGTGTCCATGAACTTCTCACTGTACAGTAAACCCTTGATAACTCGGCATTTGATAACTCAGAATTTCATATAACTCGGCATGGATACGGTCTCGGAATGTATCAGTATAACTCGGGAAATGCCGAGATATATAAAATTATCTGGGAAAATCTAGGAAATCTGGCCACCTGCATTACCTATCATATCTCTGTGTCACCTACCAAGCATCTGTGTCTCCTACTATGATGCTTTATTCTTTGCCTGCAGTGCTGGCAAGTGTTATGTTTATACATTTAGTAATTACATGTACAGTAGCTAAAACAACTATCTGTGCAGGTGGGGGTCGATATGCTCCAAAATTTTACGAGTGACTAGTGACAGCCCTCGTATACCAATATTTATCATGCATGGTCTCATAATGTTTCCCACAAAGTATGCACAGATAGCTGTTTTAGATACTGTACTTATATATGGGTTGTTAATTTTTTTGTAAGGGAGGGGGTGGGGGGAGTGCCTTGATAAGTAGGAATTTGGGATAACTCGGCAAGGCCAGAGCCCCACTTGTGCCAAGTTATCGAGGGTTTACTGTACAGTACGTCTGGATAATTCGCCGATTTTTATTTCGTGGTCCTCTAATATTCGCGGACACCCTGGATGTACTCAAGAATGTCTGTGGGTAGTTTTAAAGTTGCTACCATTTTCGTGGCCGGGACAGGGAGCCATTTGTTCTAGAGACAGTAATTTCTTTTATCTGTATTGTATATGTGTGTGCATGTAGACACACACACACACACACAAAAAAAAACACATACAAATAAATAATAATGGGAAAATCCTCTCACATATAATCAAATTTTTTTATTAAAAATGTTGTCTACCCTCAATTCCATTCCGTGCTTTGTTATTAATAGAGCACGGAGTAGACTTGAGGGTAGACTCAACATTTTTAATAATTTGTTTCTGATTATTTGTGAGAGGATTTTCCCATCTCACACACACACACACACACGTATATATAATACAGGTAAAATAAATAATTGTCCTAAGGGCAAACACATAAAGGGAATACTGAATACATTTCTTTGTACACAAGTAAAAATGTAACCCTCCCCACCCCCCAGCAAATGTTATTCGCTGATTTGGAGATCGTGCCATTTTGAGAACCTAATCCCAGGAAATTGAAGGGCATGCTGTACTTGTATTAACAGGAAGTTCATATATTTACTAAATGGTTTTACAAAATATTTTATTTAAGGTCTGCAAAAAATCCTGCTGTTGTTATTAATGTACACTTGTACAGTCAACAAATAAATAAATCTGCACCCCTGGGTGTGACAATCACTGACTGAGGCCATGTTCATTTGATAAGGTTGGTACTTTTGATTGTATTATGCACTGTGTAACCAACACAATGAACAGTATTTTGTATATCACGTATAGTTAATACAAACAAAAACAAGAATAGATATAAAACCTGTGTTGTTCATTCTTGTCCAGTGTATCATTGTAACACACCGTAAAGGTGCAGAAAATTTTCTTGTTGACTGTACACCACTTAATACACTGTGGCAATATTTTGATTTTAAAGTTAATTTTGTTGGGCTTTAAGTTAGTCTGTTTGCTGCAATTGCTGCTTCAGTTGTTTTACTATTTATATTGTGTAACTTGTGGTCACTAAACTTTTCTAACTATCTCAGCATACCCTAGGATATTAATCACAGTAACAAATCTAACTTTATAATATGTAATAAATTTTTGGGTATGCATCATTCCAAAAAATTCTTTTAAACATTATCCCCAAAACAGCATTTATTCAAGTGAACTTACCTTATCTCTATCTCGCTTATCAGGCTGGGAATTGAAGGGTAGACCAGAGGGCGGCGGTGGTAAAGTTAACTCAACAAGAGCTGGAGGGATGTATATTGGGTGGAGTGGTATGGGAACAGCCTTCCCCCAACCAAGTTTCATCTCAAACCCATCAATATCTTTGCCTGTGTGGAAATATTTACTCATTATTACTATTAGCACATAACGCTATCACCTTAAATCTAAGTTACAATAGTGTATAGAGAAACCAACTTGCTTGTCTTTTCAGTTATAAATTAAATGGACCCCAGTCAGTTTCATAAGCACCTAGCACATACTTTCAGTTTTCTGGATCCTAAATAAATAAAAACCCACAACTCACCATTAAGAGCTGACAATGCTCGTTCTCCATCTTTCCGGTTCATAAAAGCTACAAAACCACAATTTCGACCTCTATTTCTTTCATCATCTGTTCTTGGCCACATGATCTTTATGGAAGCTAAAGGGCCATATCGTCCAAACAATTCCATTAGACGCTGTTCAGTGATCTGAAAAACACAAAAATAGCTGCAGAGTAAACTGTGAAATGTACACAATACCATTCTAAGTTGGAAAAACAAAATGAATAGAATTATCTTAGTATTCAATGCACACACTTTTAACAAGCTGCAAGAGGTGGTCCACAGTAAAAAAAAATTATCCTACTCATTCAAATACTTCCCAATATAGTGCTGGGTGGCCAAAAACAAGAGCAAATACTGTACTATACTGTACACACAATACTGCCTATCATTTGTTGTCGTCAGAGCAGCACCCTAACTCGAGTAAAACACAGGGTATGTCTTCTGCTATGGTACTATTATTCTACAAGGCCCCAAATACCCATCTGGTATCCCCATCATTTCATTCAACCCAGGGATAAAATTTCAACAATGGCTTCACTTCCCCCCCCCCCCCACATACCTGGTAAAAATATTGCAGGTTTAACTTTTCATACCAAAACTTTCAGAACTTCTGAGCTTAAGCATGACTTTGCTTGGGAATTATATTTTATAATGGTAAAAAAAAAACAGCAGTGATTTATGGAAACATGAAAGTTTCTGGATTACAGTGTATTTGGCCATATTATTAACGCTTAAAGATCTGATGTCATTCCAGAGCGCCCAACGTAATAGGGGTCTGATGGCGCCAAACTAGTGCTTCATTTTTTTTCGCATGAGTAGCGTGACTATTATTGTGGCAATAGCTCATCTCCGCTCACCCACACTTCTCCCAAGCCCTGCCACTCCAAGCCAAAGAGTGGTGAATGTACTGTATATAGTGTAATAATTAGGAACCATGTGAAGGTGTTGTGAAGTTGTAAGAACATGGAGTGAGTTGGTAGTTCACTACCAGATGCGCGATAACTGCTAGAGGAGGTACAATGTCTCGCCGACTTCTCCGACTTGCCAATAACCATCGGTGGTGAGTACAGTAATAATTATGTTATTTCATATTAACTAACATATATGTTTAACTTTTCATAAGATTAGAACATTCATTTTATGATTGTAATTTTTTATGCCTAGTATTAAATTTCTGAAGGGAGACCTCCCAAGATTCGTCAGACCATTAAGGGTTAAACCATGTGTGAGTGAGTTTATGCCTCTAAATCTATGTAAGCTAAAAACACACCCATTAATCTTAAGTAAGAACTTGACATAACATACTTGTATAATCACATACGGCTGCTCCTCGACTTACGACGGAGTTAGGGACCCAAATCCAGGTCGTAAGTTGAATTGGTCGTAAGTCGAAAATGAGAAGCTAATACAGTAGTACCCTGATTTACGCAGTCAAATGAACCCACGGGGTACCGCGGAAAGTGAAAACCGCGTAAAGTGAACAACAGAACATAAGTGATTAATTCCAATAGAGACTGGCCCGACCCCCAAACTCCACTTTTTCCGACACAATACCTATGTTGTAATAAAAATAACATCTTAATTTTATGATGGTATGCTCACACAATTAATATTTAAGAGAAATACAGTCGCCAGGTTAATGTCAATTCAAATAATGGACTCAAATCCCTTCCCCCCCCCCTCTTCCCAGCTCACTAGCTCCTACCTCCTTGAGAAATGATTGGTTGAAAACACTAGATTTTAACGTTTAGTAATAAATAATACCTCAGACTAAAGTTAGGATAATATAATTGACATTTCTGGATTCCTTGCAGGTCAGGGAAAATTTTGAATGTAAACTTCATATATTTTGCACAAAAGATAACATATTTGCTTTGTGTAAACCAAATTATTACATTAGATCTAAAATTTGTATGTCTAATGCAAAATCCATCATCATATTGTAAGAATTCGAGCAATGTAAATTATATTCTGACCGAGTAATTTGTATGAATTTTATGAGGTAAAACAAATATCTTCAGTTAATAAAAAAAAATATTCTTCACGACACTATCTGTCAATCAAAGTACCCCCCCTCCTCCTCACACTCAGGCCAGCTGGGTCGGTCGGTCCCAACCCTCCCCCCACCTTCCCTCCCTACCAGAGAAATGTTTGGGTGAAAACACTAGATTTTAAAGTTTAGTAATAAATAATACCTCAGACTAAAGTTAAGATAATATAATTGACATTTCTGGATTCCTTGCAGGTCAGGGAATATTTTGAATGTAAACTTCATATATTTTGCACAAAAGATAAAATATTTGCTGTGTGTAAACCAAATTATTTCATTAGATCTAAAAATTGTATGTCTAATGCAAAATCCATGATATTTATATTCAAAATGATCATCATATTGTAAGAATTCCAGCAATGTAAATTATATTCTGGCCGGGTAATTTGTATGAATTTTATGAGCTAAAAAAAAAAAAAAAAAAAATTATACTTCACCAGCGTATATGAGTAGATGCACCGCGGGAAGTGAAAGTCCGGTTCTGGCAAGGTACTTAAACCGCGTAAATGAGAAAAAATGAGAAATCGAGGAAAGTGAAACCGTGTAAAGCGGGGTAATACTGTACATAGAAAATCTAAAATGGGTGTCTCTTTCTTCTCAGCACCACAAAACTCACTTTTAAGCATGCCAGCCATTTTAAAGGGAATTACAAGCGAAAATTTTGTCAGTACAGTACACAGTGCAATCATTAACGTCGGGACTCAAAAATACGTAATTTGAAAATTTTTTGGTACGACTGGGGCGGTTGTATGTCCGGGTGGTCGTAAGTGGAGTAGGTCTTAAATCGAGGAGTAGCTGTATATGAAATGAATCCTTTATGACTATAGTTATAAATTCAATAACTTTGGTTGTATAACTGAACAGAAAATATCACTGTTACATTAATATATAGTGATATCTCTGTTAGCCAGAACAATTGGTGTCGAGCACTTCTGAGATTTCCGGGTAACGAGTCGGCTCTCTCAAAGCCGGAAAAGAATCTCTCATCACCAGGAAATGGAAAAATTTTCTGAGATATTCCAGAAATTGCACCTTACATCATCCATCAAACCTGGCAAAACATCCCCCATCCCCGGAATCTTCCGGTTACTGGAAAAATTTTCTCGGAATTTCCGGAAAATGTACCTGATTTTCATCTCCCAAACCTGGAAAAAACTCACCCAACCTCGGAAGTTTCCAGAAACTCGTTCCCAAAGCCGGTATGGGAACAATTTCCCGAGAAAATTTAAATTCCGACTATCAGAGAGTTCCGGCTAAGAGGGGTTCTGGCTAATGTGTGTGTGTGTATATATGTGTATATATATATATATATATATATATATATATATATATATATATATATATATATATATATATATATATATATATATATATATATATATATATATATATATATATATACACACACACAGTAGTACCCCTATTTACGCGGTCAATTGAACCCACAGGGTACCGCGTTAAGTGAAATCCGCGTAAATGGAACAATAGAACATATGGGATTAATTCCAATAGAGACTGGCCCGACCCCCAAACTCTACTTTTTCCGACACAATATCTATGTTCTAGTAAAAATAACATCTTAATTTTATGATGGTACATGCACACAATTAATACTTAAGAGAAATAGAGAAATACAGTCACCAAGTTAATGCCCATTCAAATAATGGACTCAACTCCCTCCCCCTCTTCTCACACTACACTCACTGGCTCTTCCCTCTGAGAAATTTTTGGGGGAAAACCACTAGATTTTAATAAATAATACCTCAAACTAAAGTTAGGATAATATAATCGACATTGCTGGATTCCTTGTAAGACCAGGAATATTTTGAATATAAATGTCATATATTTTGCACAAAAGATAACATATTTACTCAGAGTAAACATTATATCTAAAATTTGTATGTCTAATGCAAAATCTATGATACTTATATTCAAAATGATCATCAAATTGTAAGAATTCCAGCAATGTAAATTATATTCTGGCCGGGTAATTTGTATGAATTTTATGAGCTAAAACAAATATCTTCAGTTAATAAAAAAAAAAAAAAAATATTCTTCACACCGTGCCAGATGGTCGGTCAGTCCCTCCCTCCCTCCCCCACCAACCCTCCCTACCAGATGTGTGGGAAAACCAGAATATTTACCTTTTTAGTAATAAATAATACCTCAAACTAAAGTTAGGATAATATAATTGACATTGCTGGTTTCCTTGTAAGACCAGGAATATTTTGAATATAAATGTCATATATTTTGCACAAAAGATAATATATTTACTCAGAGTAAACATTATATCTAAAATTTGTATGTCTAATGCAAAATCTATGATACTTATATTCAAAATGATCATCAAATTGTAAGAATTCCAGCAATGTGAATTATATTCTGGCCGAGTAATTTGTATGAATTTTATGAGCTAAATTAAAAAAAATATATTATACTTCACCGCGTAAATGAGTAGATGAACCGCGTTAAGTGAAAGTTGGCACCGCGTATATGAGAAATCGCGTTAAGTGAAACCGCGTAAAGCGGGGTAATACTGTGTGTGTGTGTGTGATATATATATATATATATATATATATATATATATATATATATATATATATATATATATATATATATACACCTAGACCCCCGACTTACGACTACGTGGACTTGACCGCCTCAGATATAGATAAAAAAAAAAATAAAAAAAAAAAATTTAAATGACACACGCATTTTCTATACCGAAACGTTTCCAGTTAATGTAGTCTCCATGTATAATTAGAAAATTATGGGGGCCCCATGTGCATTCAGCTGACTACATTAAAGGTTAAGTGCTCAGTCACACTGTATCCATTCCTTATTATTTATTACTTTCACTGTACTGTATCCATTCATCATTATTCATTACTTTTACTGTACTGTATTTCATTGTAGATTTTTTTTTATCTATATCGGACTTACGACCATATCGGACTTACGACCTGGATTTGGGTCCCTAACCCCGTCGTAAGTCGGGGTTTAGGTGTGTGTATATATATATATATATATATATATATATATATATATATATATATATATATATATATATATATATATATATATATATATATAT